ATTTGCAAAGCCAATATAATATGAAATAAAAGAATTCCTTATCAGTCATAGGGCCCTTCCTTTTATTTTCAGTCTTGACAAAGTTACTATAGGATGAGTTAAGAGAGGGGAGGGAAAAATGGGTTTGTAGGTCAGGATAATCTGGCCCAATGGGGCTTCCAGTGGGGGACAACCCTAATAAATGACAGATATCAAGAACAGTAGGGGCCATTATCCCACATCTGAATTGAAAGAAATTAAAAGCGAAATTCCAAAAACAAGGGGCAACAGGTACTAAGAAAGGGTCCTCTGAGATAGTGAACCTGGATAATTAGAGGGCGTCGAAAAGGTAGAGCTCTTGAAGGTCCAGAGTCCTATCAGGGACAGCTCGATCATACCACTCTTGCCATTCTGGTCTCACCATGGGCTAGCAGCGATGGGGGCGGTTCATCCTCTAGCTTCCCCAATCAAGACCACCTTCGTAAAGGAGACAATGGTCTTCTAGACGTGGATATAGAGATGGAACCTCAGTAGGAATCTCCTTGAAGATGGGCCCAAGCACATACTCTTGCTGTTCATGACGACGAGGAATGAAGATGCGTCCGTCAATAGCGCTTTTCTCACCGGCCTTGTACTTCTCGTACTCTGCGTCATTAATTCTTTTCAAGGTCACAGATGGACTCACATGTTCCGCGACTGGTATTTTCAAAGAAGAAGAATCCATTGATAAAGAGTTTTCTCAGAAGGCGAAGTCGGGAAAAAGAGTAGAGGAAAAGGAAGGTCAGCAGAGATGAAGGGTTTATGTGATAGGCAAATAGGTGAATTCAAAACATGAAATAAACGGGTTTTAAAACTTTTGTGTCTGAAAAAAATATACCTAGTCGTGTTGCACAGACGGAATTCACAAAGAAGTACTAAAGTTACGGATACGAAAAGTTTCTTTCTATATTGATAATTATGGAGGAAAACACATCTCAAATACTGATGTCAGTTTCGAAATAAAATATTTGGCTTCGAAGCCAAATTTTGGCGCCAAAATGAAATGACAAACGGCTTCGAATGTAGGAAGCTGACTTCGAAGCACATTCCACGCCTCACTGTGAAAAAGTGCTTAGGTATTTTACTTCAAAAAGGATTAAGGACCTGTTTGTAGGTTTCTAATTAAGAGTAAAATCCTTCGAAGCAAAACTTGAAACACTTTTGGGATAGAAATTGTTGTTCTAAGTGTCAAACCAATAGTTGGTTTGATAGTATATAGAAGAAATCACTTTTTTCGAATAAAATAGTGTAAACGAGGATTCCTTATTTAGTCTGTTTGTTTGAAAGAAAATTAATTGATTCGAAATTATTTGATTGTATTAACCATATGTTGGGAAATTGAATATGATCGAATAAAGTTTCGAAAGGTAAGGTTGGTTAATTCGAAGCCGTTGGGTGAAGAATTATGTAAGCCCTAGGGTCAGTATGAAAGGCAAAAATTGCTTTCTCAAAAGAAAAGACTTCACACTTTAGAAGAGTTTGAGTCAAATGGAGTTAAAGCATATCAACCATGTAGTTCATAATTTGAGTGCTAAATCAGAATTTAACAAATGAAATTCGGAAAGCTCAGTTTTATTGATAAATGCTATTGATACTAGAGTTCATTTGATTACATTCTCGATTTCGTAGAAATACGAAATGGACAGAGTTACGAGGTCATGAAATTTAGTCCAGCAAAATTCAATAAACGAAAATTCTTTTCCTACTCTATCTTTTATCTTGTCCAAGTTTGGCTTGTCTAATTCATAAGCCCCTTAATTGAGAAGTGAGTTGTTGGGCTTTCACTTCGAATTCTATTTGCTTTAAGGCTTTATCTGTGGCGTCCATTTCCCCCTTTTATGCACTTCATTCATAATAGCATCCTCCCCATACCCAGAATCCTAACTCTTAAAGGATTCATTTATTATTGTTTGCTTAATTCTCCTAAACAAAGTCACAAGTAAAAGTCTTCATCATTGAGCCTTAAAAAACTAAAACACAGTCGTCTGATAATTGGTTGGCAATTCATATTCTGTAAGGACTGATTGATCTTTACTGGCATACTCATAATTACAAAAATAACATTCAAAAGCCAAAAAACCAACATATATACAAGTAGTTTTTGATTTTTTTTTAAGTGGCACATTCTATTTTGTTTTTATTATAAAAAAAATCATATTAGCATTATTTTTCTATTTACATATAAAGTTTTATACAAACTCAATTTCAATTATAATAATAAATTTTATATGGATTTTATTTAAGAAATACTTATTTTTCATATATATAATTATAATTTACTTATATGATATTTGAAAAAAACTATCACGATATATAAATAAATAAGACAGAACGTGCTTAATTATGTGCATCACACAGATCAAATTAATTTTCTTTTCTAGTTTTTATTTATTTTCTATCTTATTGACGTCTTAATATTAATTTATATTTAATTTTTTATTTAACATGAAATTATTTATCACAAAATATTTATACTTAATTTAAATTTTATATAGCTCTATACAATATGCATGAATAATTTAAAAAGAATATTAAACAAATAAATCAATACTCTACATAATTAATTTATATATTTTCTTCTTAATCCAATCACAACATATTTATATTTAATCTTTTAAATAAATTTTGTGTAATTATATTCTACGCATTTTTATTATCCAAATAAAATATAAAATAAGAAAATTAATTAGAATCACTTTTAATTTCACGTTACTAACTATCTTTATAAATTAACTATTATTTTTAATATCAAAGTGAGTGCTTGTTTTACTACCTTATATATCATATAAAATTATTATATAATAATTATACTTTTATAGCACAAAAGAACTAAAATTATCAAAATCAACATGTAAGTTAACTAAATTTATTATATATATAAGTATTCAAATAACACTTTTATAGAACGATAAGGCTAACTTTTATAGAACATAAGGCTAAATTATCAAAATAAATTATTTAATTTACTATTTTATTTTAAATTAAAATTAATATTACTCTTTTGTAACATATACCACAATATAAAATATCATTACATTAATTAAAGTTAATTCCATTGTGATATCATATTTTAAAAAATGATTTGCATACACATTTAACGTCTAATTTGATATTGATTGATTAAAATAATAGAACTCGATATTTTATTTTTGTTAATTTTTTATAAGATATATTGACAAATAGCAAATGATAAATAGTATTAAGTATTATTTTAAAAAATAATAATTCATCGAAAATTATTGTATATATTTAAGGCACTTATTGATATTTATTGAATAATTTTTAAATTTATAATATTACTAATAATGCACATTCACGAGCTCTGTCATAAAAGATATGCAAAAATAATTTAGCTGAAATAAAAAATTTGCGGTTAAAACATTTATAATATGTCACATGATTAATCAATTCTAAACATTCTATGTCAAAGCTAGTCTTGGTTTCTATCTCGTGTATTTGTATCTTAAGTTCTCTTACTTGTAGTTCTAATTCTCTAATTGTTAAATGTAATTCTCTGCTTTCTAGATTATGATCTTCCCTAGTATTTCCTAAAGCTATCTTATGTGTCATATTTAATTTTTCTAGACAGACTACACAATAGGTTATGCTGCATAATAAACATTGAGCTCGTTTATCTTTAGCTGGAAACCAATTACAATAGCTGCATCTAGTGGTATCAAATCCTAATCCTATTTGAAAGTTATGCTGACATTCAGTATCTGCATTGCATTCCATCATAAAGAAAGTATCTTGGGAAGGTATTAATCCTATTTCTTGGTTGAGTTGTCTTAAAAGATTATCTATATTAGTATCACTTTCTGAATCACTATATGAACTTATGGCTTCTATTTGATATTCATAATCGTTGACTATACTATATATTTATGAATCATCACTAGTTATGCTAACTATATCTTCTTCTAAGTCTTCTATAATATGTAGTCTTTCTATCTGTTTATTGGTATTTGGTCTTTGTCTTTTTGGGCAGTTCTTTGCAAAATGATTGGGTTCTCCACATATAAAACAATGCATTTTTTACTGTTGGGTTTTCTAACATATCTTTGTTTTCTTTTATCTTTTTCTTCTCTGGGTAATTTCTTATAATTTGTCCTATTAAAAGTTCTACTTTTTTTAATGAATTTTTGTTTTTTCCATGGTTTTTTATAATTTTTCTTCCAATATAATAGAATATAATCAAACACCACTTGAAGTATAATTAAAGATTAGATTCATCGCTTTAGACATAACAAAAACATAAGATATTTGCAAATACTTTTTTCATTAATAATCAAAATAATACACTATGAGTTATAACCAAGTCATAATTTGTATGTTATAAAATTTTTTGTTGTTTTTATTTTTTTAAATTTGTAGGATTATTAGTAATGGGGTAGGGGTGGGATAGTTAATACCACACTAATTTAATAGGATTATTAATACCTCACTATTAGTATTGTGAATCAAACATGACCTATGAGTTATAACCAAGTCATAATTTGTATGTTATAAAATTTTTTGTTGTTTTTATTTTTTTAGAAAAAATATTTTAATACAAGTGGAATTCATATTTTTTGGTCAATTTAATTAACACAAATGAGGATTTGATTTCAAGTTGAGAATATATCTTTTTTTTTTTTTAAACTTTGAAATAAATTGTTTTTATGAATCTTTTATATAGGATCACACGTACAATGACAAACACTTTTATCAGCTATTAACAAAATAATTTTTATTTAATTTTCAATTATTAAAATTTTTTATACGTCATTTGCGCTGATCAAATTAATAAATAACATAATTTGCCTATGATACACATGTACTATAGTATTTCTCTTTATTATAAGAATTAAATTATTATTTATTTGTAATTTCCTAATTATAATTTATTTATTAGAAATTTCATTTATTAGTCTGAAGGGATGCGGTGTAACATATTTTCCAAATGTTGGGCCAAGTGCACCGATAACGTTGGAGCCCTTTAAAAGAGCAGCACAGCATGGTCATCGCGAACAATCCATATGCGAGGAGGCCCGTATGTAGGGCATCAATCAATACTCGGTGATTTTCCCCGTTTCTTCGAATTCATATGACAAATAGATTGGTGGGTGAGTCTAGGGCGCATCATTTGGATTTGGAGGAAGAGGAAGAAGCAGAACAGCGAAGGCATGCCGTTATTCGCGTCAGAGGAAGAGTACGAGCGGTGCTCGCACGATGCGTCTCTGGTGGCAGAGAAGGCCGATACATTCATCAAAGAAGTTTACAACCAACTCGAGACTGTCAAGGCACAGGCGGATGCAGCGGCTATCACCGCCGAGCAGACCTGCTCCCTCCTCGAACAGAAGTACGTATCCCTATCCTCCGATTTCGCCAAGCTTGAATCTCAAAACTCCCAACTCAATTCTGCCCTCCAACAACGTCTCTCTGAGCTCGCCCAAGTTCAAGCTGGGAAGCACCAAATCCATCTCAAATCCGTAATCTCTTTCTTCTTAATTATTCTTCTTTCCTCTTCTTCTTCTTCTTCTTCTTCTTCTTCTTCTTCTTTTTATTTTTAATTTTTAATTTTTATTTTAAGTTTTAGTTAAAGTTTGATATTTTTATAATTAGTAAGGGTGGGTGATTGTTTTGTTCCATTTATTTTGGTTGCTTAACTTTTTATAGATTGAGAAAGATGGAGAGATGGAGCGGTTGTCTACTGAAGTCTCTGAGCTTCACAAATCCAAGAGGCAGTTAATTGGTTTGTTGGAGCAGAAGGATTTAGAGATTAGTGAGAAAAATGCTGCCGTCAAGAGCTATCTCGATAAGATTGTACGTATTATCTTCACTCCCCTTAATTTCAGTTTTATTTGCGATGCTTTTCACGCTTAGTGTCCTTGAATGAGTTGCATATTATGCATTTCTTTCATGTGGTTTTGAAATAAGTTCAGTATTACCATTCCCTTTGGCTACAGAGCAGCATATCTTCTTATTCTTGGTGAGTTAATTATGCTGAAAGTTGGCGCATGTCGTGGCATACCCAACCATGATCGGTGAGACTCGAAAACAAATATGAACAATGAAAAAGAATTGTAAATCACATGTACACAGAAGAGTCTAGGATTTACATAGTTAACTCCAAAACTAGGGTTATGTTTGTGGTTGCTGCGGGATCACTATGATAAAAGAATTGCAACCAAGATACAAAGATAGCCGCCTCCAACTACGTATGTGTAGTGTTAGGGTTATAGGTCACAAATTCTGAAATACTAAAATACCCTTGCTACTGAGTGTTTAGTACCTAGTGCTTATCAGGATTTGCATTACCCAACCGGAAATTGCAATAATTTTGTGAAAAAAGAAAAGGAAAGAGCAGTTATAAAGATTTTATGGGTCTTATACGGAGTTTTAGGGGCCACAAATTGAAATTAAAATAAGTTATGGTAAAGATAGGTAAAATAGAGGTTTAGAAAAAAATGAGAGTAGCCCTAATGTTGCATTGCCTAAGAAGCAGGGGCAGGGACACAAATACAAACACAGGACAGAATGATCCTCAAAAGATTTAAGATACAGACATAGGGGATAAGACGGAAAAATATATATAATTTTAATAAATTTTTATTTACTATGTAAATGAATATAAATCTAGAATACATAGATATGAGAGGCATCGATATATATGTGGGTGTAATTTTAAGATTTTTTTTTTCTTTTGACTTTTTCCTTCTCTATTTTCATATATGGTTTTAAAAAAAAGAGATTGTTAGATAGTTTTCTTATCTATATTTTTTAAAACTTATATTAGTTATTTACATATTCTTTTTAATATATTTATGAAAGAGTTGTGATGTCATAGTACAATTTGGGTTAGACTCGACGGTTAAACCAGTGATACTTAAGCTTCTTTATATAAGCGTCTTTATTCTTGTAAGTGAAAGGCTTTTCTTCCAATATCCCTTAACGTTGTTTCTAATTGATGAGTGAAATATTGAGTCCCTTTGCTGAACCATTATTAGGCATGTGGAATTCTAAGTGCAGAGAAAAAGTTTTGTTCAATCAGGGAGTGTATGGTGCGTGATGGGCTTCCACTTTGCCTCCCTCCCATGCCACCCATTGGAACTAAAAGATGTAGGCCTTAAAGAAGAGAAGGCTTTTCCCTCTCATGAAGCCAAATTCTAACTTGGCTTACTGCTGTTGGGAGGCATTGCATTATGTTAACTACTTCTAGCATACACATATACATCTATCTAGGCAACCTTTTCTACCTTGCCTGCAATGTAGAGTGGCGCATTTTGGATGCTTTTGAATTCCAAGTATAAAATCATATCAAAGAGTCTTAGACTATCTTTTTTCTCATACATCTGTTCACTGTGCGTGGCCAATTTAGTTCATTCCACATCTTCACTTCTATTATGAAGTCTGGCCAAGAATGTGTAGTTATTCTAGAGGTAGATAACATGTAATAGACCTCCTTCTCCAGCTAGCGGTTAGAATTCAGGCAAGGGCCTTGGGAAGCACAATTAGACCTTAAGACATTCATATCCTAATGCCATATTGTTCCTACATCTATCAAATGAAATCTCAGCGAGGAGGGTACTTTCCAGTTATGATCTGCCATACTGTCTTTGGAAACCAAGTCATTGTAATGAGAATGTACAGATATTTGTATGCCACTGTACTATAAGGTTTACCTAATTTTCGTTTTGTCAAGTTCTGTTGTTTCATAATCTTGATAGTAAAGCATAGAGCAAGAGTGAGAGCAGGAGTTAGGGCACAAGGTTGGGGATTCTACAAAATTATATGGTCAAGTGTTGTGATAATGTATATGTACATAGGTGTGGGTAATATATTTGTGCAATACTAATTTTATACATAAAAGATAATGCACGTCATGTTGAAAAATTTAGTGTCATTCAGTTGTGTTATGGGTGGGTGTTAAAAAAACTTGGTGTGAGCTGCTGTGTGAGTTCCAGATCCTTGTCAAATCCAATAAATGATGTCTTAACTGACGCCAATGTGTTAACATGATGTCCAAAAACTGGATTTTTTTTTTCAGTTTGACCGAAAAAATTAGATGAAGGACATTTTGCCACACAAAGCGGTCTAAATTGTCGTCGTTTTGGTCATGCGTATGTTTTTCTGATTTGAAAGGTTTTTTTAGTCCAACTACAGTTTTATTGGTGGTCAGAGTTCTTTTTGGCTGTACATGTACTCTTTTGTGGCAGTTTCCTATTGTTATGCTAATGTCAGTTGATTGCTAATGGTTGCAGTTTGCCTATGAAAAAATACCCGAGATATACAGCTGGAGAATAATGAACATTGTTGATGTTGACATCTCTGTTAATAAAATTATATTTTATGTTGCAGATCAAAACAATGTTTTTTTATTCACTGAACATTAACATTCCTTATGTTCCATTATGTTGAAGGTCAACTTGACTGACAGTGCTGCATTAAGAGAAGCTCGAGTGAATGAAATTGAGGCAGAGTTGGCACGTTCTCATGCTTCCTGTACTCGTCTTTCACAGGTAGTTTGTTTCTTTGTTTCATTGTTGTATTATCCCCCCTTTATTTATGAGGAATATTCCCCCTCCTCCCCCTCTCCTTTCCCTCACCAGGTTGTTTGTTGTTTACCTTAACTTCATGTACTGATTTATGGAATTGTGAAGTTGGTCACCTGAGCCTGTTTCTGTTTTATACATGTTTTTGTTGCATGGCATGTCTGCTTAACAAGCATTATGTTGATGACAACTTGGAAATTTCACTTCACTAAAATTTATGCTTCTCACATCTTTGGTGAATTGTCCTGACTACGTACATCCAAAAGTAGCCCATTTTCATCTGAGCATATTTTTTGGATAAAATAGTGGATCTTTTATAATGGTTTCACCTAGGAAACCAGAACCTTTCTGAAGCATGACGTAGGTGGAAAAACTTGGAAAGTCATAGATACTATTTAAAACAAAAATTAAAATCTATTTGCATGCAGACATAAACTCTATATTGATTAATTGAATCTGTTTGTACATTTGTGGACAATGATGTGGAAGCTGAAAATAAGTGCTAATGTGAATGAGCAGTTGTCAATACAATGAAGAACAATTTACTAATTTTTGAAAAAAATTTCAAATGATACCATGATTAATTATTATGTTTTCAATTACCAAAACTTTTTTGTAAAGCAAGATGTGGAAGTGAGTTAAAAAATTTGGGTAGCACAATCAATTATGATGGTAGAGATAAAGGATTGGTCTGAGGGATGTAGTGGAGGGGCTTGTTGGCTGCCCTTGGTGTAATTAGAGTCTTGGATAGGTTATTTTTCTGTTGTTTTTTCTTTTTACTCTTTTGTACTTGGTGGTGCCCGTTTTGAAACTTTTGTTTTAATTTAAATCCTGAATTGCTTGTGAAGAAGGAAAGAAACTTTCCATCATCACTTACAATCTTTTGGCATCATTAATGGTACTCAAAAGGGTGGATTCTTTTTCAAGAAAAGCATAATAGATAAAGAACTATCCTAAAAGTATCAGGGTATTATTTATTAGGCACAATGTACAGCTGCAGTAGCAGTGGAGATAATGCTAGTCTGATGGTTAGTAACTTTCCATCTTGATGGGGTCCATTGGATGATGGGAATGCTCTCTCTCTCTCTAAATTTTAAATAGTGTGGTCCTTGTCAGAAATTACACCATAATTGTTGACTTCATGAAGCAAATGTGAGACTTCCCCCCTCTTTTGTTTCTTTTGCGAGCTTGCTTGGTTGGATTTTACCTTGTACAATTGTTACTTTGGTAAGTCTCCGATAGCTTCCACAGCAGGAACTAATACTTGGCTAGCAACTGTTTCAAGTCTTTTGTGTTTTCCTTTCCTTTTCTTGTAATATTCATCCAAGCCAGTATCTGTTGCAATATCGATGATTATTGCATTTTATGTTGGGCATGAGCAGGAGAAAGAACTTATTGAGAGGCATAACATTTGGCTTAATGATGAGTTGACAACCAAAGTAGACAGTCTCATTGAGCTGCGCAAAGCACATAGTGAACTTGATGCAGATATGTCTGCTAAGATTGTAGATGTAAGCACATTTAATATATTTTCTTAATAAATTACACTAAGCTCCCCTGAGGTTACTGATATTTACCGAGATCTTCCTTGAGGTTTCTAAAATGACACTGACCTCCCCTCAATGTTGTTGGTTGAATGCTCTTAGCAGAAGTTAAGTTTTTACCTTTGCCCCTTCACTTTAACATCTCGAAATAATGAAATAAAAATGAGAAAAAAGTCTCTCACTAAAATATATTTATTTGATGAACTCTACTAGCAAACCCACATCCCTTCTCTTTCATTTTATGTTGAATGAGCAAACCCACTCAAATTTCTCCCTTAATCTCTTACTCTCTCTCTATTTAAAATTGTAAAAGCCAATGTGAGACGATTGGTAAGGGAGGTGATGAGGGGCTGGTTGAGGTGGTTGGCAAGGAAGCAGTGAGGATGGGGATCGGTTATGGGCTAAGGATGAAATCGTAGGAGGGGTTTTGCAGCTGTGAAAGGTGAAATTGTGGCAGTGGAGGTCAGTTTTGGGCTGAGGTAATGGAAGTGTGGAGGCTGCAGATGCAGACCATGGTGGTGCGCAGTGATGGTATGACCATGACGGTGGACCATTAGTGGGACTTCTTGGTGGATTTGGGGTGCCATTGGTTGGGATACAGTGGGGGTGGATGCGTTTGTTGGTGGATTGGGTGTGGTGGAGCTGCCAATCTAGCAAGGGATTTGTTACAGGAAGAGGAGATGAGGAAGGGGCTTCTGTTTCAGCAACCTCGACCCTCTGTCGTTCAACAACTCCAACCCTCTCTTCTGTTTCTTCTTTCTCTCATCTCTTCCTCTTTCTTCTTCTAGTCAATTTCAAGCCTCTGCATTTGTAAGTTTGTAGTGATTGTTATTATTAGAATGAGGTAACATATAATGTGGTTTTGCCGTGAGTTAAAATGAGATGATTGGGTTGTCCAATGGAGTGGGTGTCGAGGGACTGTATTGCTGCCGTGAAAAGAAATAGAAGAAATAATAAAAATCTGAAAGTAAAAAAAAAAAAAAGAAAGAAAGAGGAAAGCATAGGGGATTAGTATTTATAACAAAATATTTTTATACAAGGGGTGTATTATAAAATCAGTATATTCTATATAAATAATGGAAAATTTGGTATTTTTGAAAAAGGAATGGATGGTATTAGCTTTTTCCTTTGATATAAGTTAGGCTCTGTTTGGCAAGAGGGTTTTTGGTTAAAAAAACAAAAAAGACAAAAAAAAACAAAAACAAAAAAGGCAACAAATTCAACCCCATTAGCAAAAGGTCACATCGTACATATCAATTAATCACCTTTTCCCTCACAACTATCTATTCAACTACAAAACCATTCCCAAATACATTATTTTTTTTCACCTCATGAAAAAACCAAAACGCCATTAAAAAAACCAACTTCCCAAACTTGCACTTAACAAAAGTGTACAGGGGGGGTGAATTTGAAATGGAAAAGTGAAGCAGAAGGGTGGCCAGTGTTATTCAGAAACATCAGGGGAGGTTCAGTGTAATTTACCCTTTTATCAAACATTCTCTTTCCAATTCTTGTTATTTTGTTCAATCATTTTCTTCCCATCCAGCTTGAGAGAAAATTGAATGAAAGTTTGAGCTCTTTAAAGTGGAACAAGGATAGAGTGATGGAGCAGGAAATGAAGCTTACATCGCTTCAGGAGGTGTGTGCTGTTCCCTACAACTCTATTTAGTTTGTGTTGCTTGTCATTCTTTTTATATCTACTGTATGATGTTTATGTCTTCATCTCATGTAAAGGAGCTAAGCTCATCTAAAGATGCTGCTGCAGCCAATGAGGAGCGATATTCTGCTGAAATATCAACTGTAAGCCCTATGGAAAATCTTTATGCACTTTGGTGCTATTCTCTTTGCATCCATGCATGTCAGAATCTTGATTATAATCTCTTATACTTGTCATTGAATGAATTTTAATAGTTCTTTTTATGAGGTTTCTACTCTCTTGTTTTTTTTGAGACTACACTTGTATTGGTGGGTGTATGTGCTTGGCTCTGTGGCAATGGTGGTTAAATGGTGGAGATTGTATGTAGTGGTGGACGGTGTAAAATTAATATCCTAGCAGTAGTGCCATTATAATCGTAGAGGCTATATTATTTTAGTGTGTTAATTGTTGGCAACATTGTGACTGGGTTATGCTGGTGGTTTTGATAGTCAGAAGCATAGTAGTTTTATTATTTTTTCCTTATGTAAAATTTACTCTACCATTTTTTTTATTTTATATTTTTTTTGAATGGTATCCAATGGCAAATATTTATTCCCCATTACTTTGTGCCCCATTTCTAATTTTGATATTTTATTGATAAATCATGTGCTACGTGCTGTTCTGTTTATTCATGTATGGACTATAGATGAAGCAATTTGGCATGTGCATTAATTAATAGTCAACCTAGAAAGGGTGGTTAATAGGGATGGTTTGATTTTTCTTGCTGCTTGCACAGGTTGTAATCCTTCTGAAACGCGTCAGTTCCTTTGGTCAAAATGATCAACTCCACTTGTTTTAGATGGCATCCATGGTAGATACATAGGTTTACTATGGTTTTGGATCGTCATGTTGTGTGGAGAAAAAGTTAGCGATATAATTTTGTTGTTGATTGCAGTTTAAAATGATTATTTGAGTCATATTTCTTTGCGATATGGTTTCTTTCTTTGACTATTGGTTATTTACATTTCATCTAAATTTTCCTGAACCTTGTAGGTTACGAAGCTTGTTGAATTATATAAGGAGAGTTCCAAAGAATGGTCCAAAAAGGCGGGAGAGCTTGAGGGTGTGATCAAAGCTTTGGATGTGAGATAAATATCTGCAAATCTGTTGCATTTGAAATATGAATTTACTGTCTGTTATAATAATTTTTTTTTTTTTTACTACATCTGCAGCTTATATGATTTTTTTGGTTTTCAAGCTGCTTCAGACTCTATTGTGGTGTTGATTGTTTATTATTTGATGCTCTCTGCTAACATGGTATTGACTGTTTGATGTTATTGCTATGCAGACTCATTTAAGTCAAGTTGAAAATGGATATAAAGAGAGGCTTGAAAAGGAAATTTCTGCAAGAAAAGAATTTGAAAAGGTATACTATTTTATTGTCTTTCCTTTTGTTGTGGCATGTTTTATTTTGAATTAGTTTTGGAGTAACAAATCTCAAGGGGTAATTCTTGAAGTTCGGAGGAGTTAATGTTAGTCTAAAAGATTTACTTCAAAGGATAAATTTTTATATGAAAACATTGTTAGATTTATCTGCTCCAAATGTTACCTAACTTTTGTGCTATCAATAACTCTAAGAAAGTTCTATGTGAAAAATTATCACATTTGACAAAAAATTTGGTATATACATGTATGTTTTGAAGAAGTTGGAAGAAGTATGGTTATTTAATGTTAATATGTTTGTTATATGTTTCTGATATAGAATATATTTTTTTCTTAATTGTTTTTGCTTCTATGTTGTTCCTATTAAAGACTTGTGAGGAGCAAATGACTTCAAATATTTGTGTCAATATATGAGCCAGGATTGAATAGTTCCATAATATGCGTGCTTATATTTTTGCAATTAGGTGCATGATACTATTTTGTATACCTCGTTTCAGTTATACTCTCCTAATTCTTTAAATATTGATGTTCTTATTGTTAGTTTACTTGTGTTTTTGTTTTTTAAATTTATTTATTTTTTTGATAAATTGTTTTTTAAATTTATTTTGGTGTTCATAGGAAGCTGTTTATTTGAAGGAGAAGCTTGAAAAGTGTGAAGCTGAGGTTGAGAACAGTAGGAAAGCAAGTGAGCTGAATCTTCTTCCTCTGAGCACTTACACTACAGAAACGTAAGTTAGGTTTTTAAATGGGGACCTTTCTATTTTTACTTTCATCTTATCCTGTTCAAGTCATTTTCCTATCAGGACTGGTGTGCATGCACAAAATGTCGCACAAATTGCTTTGCACAGGGATTACTTAACAATACTCATGTTTGAGGTCCTTTTTGTCTTGCTTTGCATCCTTTGTCCCTTGATTTGCTTATCCTTAATTCCATTGTTTCAATACTGTTGGTGTCCTTACACGGCATTGGGTTTGCATATTTATTTTTCAATTCCTAGAGTCAATTGAATGGCTAATAATATCCATGGTAGGCTCTTTTTAACTATTTATTGGTAATTACGTCTTTCTTTGATAAAGAGTTGTGCAACCAAAGGTAGCACAATGGTTTTAGATTGTGGGTTGTTTTTGGTTACTGGGGTAGACACTTTTGGAAAATCCAAGAACGGGGATACAATAGTCTAATTTTTGCAAAGGCATTGAAGAAGTTTACTGATTAGAGTTTCAATAGTGATCGTAAGTGAAGATCTATGATGCAATGTTTTGAAAACCGGGCCGGTGAGCGAACCGGAAAAGAGATCGGTGGACGGGTCACCGGTTCAACCGTCGGGTCAAAGCGGTCGAACCGTGACGTCATAATTAATATTATATAATTAAAAATTATAAATAAATAAAAATATATATAAATACTCAAATAAAAATAAAAATTGTTGTATAGTATTTATTAATAATATTTTATAAAGTCATAATTGATAAAAAAAAAAGTCACTTGTTTTAAAGAAATTAAATTTTTTAAACATTCTCTCCAAACAAATTGGTTGAATGCTAAGTAATTTTGGAGGAAAATAAAATTTTCAACTCTCCTTCCAATCAATATGTTTCAAATAATTTGATTGAATCCCACATATAATTTTGTAGGTTCTCTTTAAAAAATATTTTCCTATAAATAGGAATAGACTTTCATAATCTTCTCAAACTTCTAATGACACTTTTCCTTATGAGAGGAAACTCTTGAAGTAAGAATTTTTTAGTCAAAATTTTGAAATATATATATATAATATTATATATATATATATAAATATATAAGAAAGCAAGAAAGAAAGAAAATAATTAAAAAAAATAGTATAAAACCCCGGTCCAACCTGCCAAACCCTTAGTTGCAGGAATCGTGCAACCAGGTGGTGATTCCGAGTAAGAATCGCGATTCCGCGTTTCCTAAAAAGAAACGTGTAAGAATCGCGTTTCTGTGGAGAGAGAAACGCGATTCAGTCAACGATGGGATCGTAAAGGGGAGAGAGAGAGAGAGAGAAACCTGGTCTCGCCGTCTATCTGTTACATGGATTCGCTGGTTTAGGGCATGGGTTTCTCGGACACGTCTTTGATCTGTTACATAGCCTTCGATCTCTGTTACATCGCCTTTGATCTGGTCACGATCTCCTCTTCACTCTCTTTCTTCATCTCTCTTGATCTCCTCTTCTGTCTCTCTGTCTTCTCTTCTTCAGCATCTCATCGTCATTGTCTTCTTCTTCTTCGTTGTCTTCGTCGTCTTCTTCTTCTTCTTCTTCTTCTTCTTCTCTCTCTCTCTCTCTCTCGTCGATCTGTGTCCCTCCCGTTTTTATATAATATGTAAGTGGCATATAATGGGTTATGATGATGTTTGTAATATCTCCTATATAAGGAGTGTCATTTGGTCTTGTAAGATAAGAAGTTTTGAATATAACAGAAATATATTTCTTCTTCCTCATATTTTCGGAGTTCTTCTTCTTCATATTTTCTAAGTATATATATATCAATTAAAAATAAAAAAATAAATTAACAATAACATATTATTTAAAAAATATAATAAATAAATAAAATAATTAATGTGTATTATAAAAAATATTTATAAAAAAACTTCTAATGTGTATTAAAATATATATATATATATATTACCGCTCCCCGAGGTGCTCCCAACCTAAGAAACTTCTATTAGCTCACGCTTCCCCACTCCCGCTCCCGCCCCTGCTTCCGCTTCGTGCAACTAAGGCCAAACCCGGTCCGGGTCATCGGTTTTCCCAGTTCGACCGCCGGATCTAGCGGTTTTTCATTTCCAGGCCGGTTTTGCTCCTAGTCCGGTTTTAGGGGGTTGACCGGGCCGGACAAAGGCCCGGTCCAACCGGTTTGACTGGCCGGTCCGGTCCGGGTTCCAAAACATTGCTGTGATGGTCTGTGGGTGAACTAGAGAAATAGTCTTAGACAGAGAGGAATGGTTGGATACGATTTGTGTAGTGACCCAATATAACTTTGATGACTTAGGTGAATGGAGTGGTTGCTGGAAAAGTTTTTTTTGTACTCTTCATATAATCCATGGTATTTAAATGTTAAAAGCTTTAGACTGATGTGCTGTGTAAGCTTGTGGTGCTTAGCTTGTAATGGTCAAACCATCTGTATAATATTTTAACCGTACAGGAATGTTGCTTTGCATTTATGGAGGGCATTGCATGTTCTTGAACTTGACAAGTTGAACTTATGTCATGTTTGCTGCTTCATTTCCGACTGATATTGTACTGATTGATGTTTAAATTCTCCTAAATTTCCCCTGTTCAGTATGTTGGTTTTTATGTCACTGAATCTTGGTTGCAGTAATTTTGGTGCATTTCTTTTCTGGTGATATAGTACAGGCCTTGGGTTGGGTACTGGCTATTGTTTTTTGATTGAATCAGTTTTTCAATGGATTCCTATCACTGTTGCTAGTGGTTTGATTGTTTTTAATTGCAGATGGGTGGATTCAGTTGAAGGAAATGACATGGTCAGCAACAATCGCACAGTTGTCCCTAGTATTCCCATAGGTGTTTCAGGAACAGCATTGGCTGCTTCACTTCTACGGGATGGTTGGAGTGTGAGTTATTTATTCTTACTTCTTTCTACTTTAATTAACTTAGTTCAACCTATTCTATTTCTTTTTTTCTTAGTATTTGTTTTGTGTCTTAAGCTTGCAAAAATGTATGCCAAGTACCACGAGGCTGTTGATGCGATGCGACATGAGCAATTGGGAAGAAAGCAGTCCCAAGCAATATTGGAGCGGGTATTTTGATTAACACGTTTGATGTTTGATTGTTCACTTGCAATTGCTTGTAATAATTTTTTGCATTTCTAACAAACTATCTATTTTTCAAATCTTCTTTAGAAGTTAATCTCTGTACTGGAAATTGATATTTTTTGGTCTGTTTGGACCATTTTGGGGGTCACAATAGAAAAATTAGTTTGGGAAGAATGATTACTTAATTACATATGTTACTAACTTAGAAAGGAGGTGAGCAGTTGGGAAACCAAACTTACTGATGATGGAGGAGGAACAGTGATGCAGGACAAGTAATAGTGGGCTTTTCAGGCTGATTTTAATTAGGTTTTATGGCTAAACATTGCAATAAGAGTATAGGGGTTTTAAGGGTTTGTTTAGGGTAGACAAACCCTTAAAACCCCTGGGAACCAAACTTACAGATGATGGAGGAGGACCAGTGATGCAGGACAAGTAGGGACAGCAGCAACAGTGGGCTTTTTGGGCTGATTTTAATTAGGTTTTATGGTTAAAAATTGCAATAAGAGTATAGGGGTTTTACGGGTTTGTTTAGGGTAATAAAGGGGTAACAGTTTATTAAGAATGAAATGACGAGATTTTTTCCATTCTTGTAAATGAAGTTTTGATTTTTGTAATACTGTAACTGCCACTGGTCTTTATATGCTAGTTTATTATTTCATATCATCAATTTTTGACATAATGTATGTTTTGTTTTTGTTTTTGTTTTGAAAAGATTGCCTTATGCCTGCTTAATATTTCATTATAGGTCCTGTATGAAATAGAGGAGAAAGCTGGCGTCATTTTGGATGAGCGAGGTATATGCTTTTTAATGGTATAAAAACTGTTTTCCTTTTGCCTTGTTTGCACGAGGAGTGTGCTAATGGCACACAAGTGAACCACAGTGTTTGTGTGGCGCAAGAGTGGCCCTTTGGCTATTTGAGGTGCACAATGCAATGCAAACTTGGTGGCTGGTTTGGGGTCTATGCTAGCACATGGTGGGCAGCTTGTGGAGTTGTAGCACTAGTGAATGAGTCATAGGTGCTATGGCATACGCAAGTGGCCTTCTTGTTGGTAACACTTCTGGTGGACATAATTGTGTGGGTTGATGTGGTAAGGAGCCTGCCTTGATGATGATGGAACCATCAGTGGGGCAAGTGCCTTGCTTGATTATAAGCTTGGTACAGTGAAGCAACCCAGTTGGCGTGGCTGAGGTGCAGCTTGGGACAAGCATGTCTATTAGGGACATTTGATATTTGGGGCTGCCTTAAGGGAAAAGTTTTGTTGATAAATCTCATGGGATTGAAATTTGACAAATCAAAGTATCTTGTAGACTTGGGTGGTTATGGCTAGCTTGGACTTGGTGGAATCTAGGCACCACATGGTCTTTATTTTCTGCATGAAAATAGTCGAACAATGACACTTGGCTTTACTTTTGACATCTACGCTAGCATGGGAGCATTTGGGTGCCATTGATGTGCACAATGAACTCCTTTTTCAACTTGAGTGGTTATTTGGATATGGCTCATAACAAAGAGAAAGGAAACATCCACCTTTCATTTTTTAAATTTCCATCATGGGGGGCTTTGTATGCAAAAGCAATATCATTGATTCTGTCTTGATGTTGCATTGACTCGTTCTCATGTTCCATCACAAAATATGACAAATTTTTATGGTTTTCGAAGAGGATTTTCTTTTGCGAGGAAACCGTAGTGATCTAGCCTAATGTTCTTTGCCTTGTCCTATAATCTCATACTTGACATAAGCTGTAGAGGTTCACATGAGAAAGCATAGTTTCCATGATGGTAGTTGGTTTTGCTATTAGCTATAGATGAAATAGTTGGTGAAACATTGTCAAGGTGTCTCTTCTCTCAATATACTCGTTTCATTGTGGTAATGAGGAAACTTTCTATTTTTATGACGATGAATGGAAGGGTGAGAATACTTTTGACCATTTGTTCCCTAGTTTGTATTGGTTATCTCATAAGCATAATGTTGCATTTATCACTTCCATGTTTTCTTCCAATTCAAATTCAATTTTTTGGAACTTCAAAATTTTCAAATCTCAATGATTGTGAGGCAAATGAGTTGGCTTCTTTGTTATATCTGTGTGAGGGTATTTTTTTGGAGTCCTACGGCAATTGATAAACGAAAGTGGTCTGTTAATTCCTGTGGAGTCTTTTCTTGTAAATCCTTTTTGATGCTATTATTAATGATTCAAGTGCACCAATTTGTTCCTCACTAGATGATTTATGGCGCAAATGTGCTACTTGTGGTTAATGTTTTTTGCTTGGCCTGTGCCTCACGCTAAACTCAATACTAAGGATATGATTGAAAGAAAAAGGCCAAATTGCTATCTTCTTCCGCAGAAGTGTCGTATTTGTGTAAGGGATGAAGCGAGTATTGACGACCTATTTTGCATTGTCATGTGACTTTGGTCTTATGGTGGAGATTATTTCATTTGGTGGAGGTTGATTGGGTCATCCCACCTTTTGCTCACATGCTTGTTTTTGACTTTTGGGGATTTGGTCGTAATAGGAAGGCCTCTTGCTTTTTGAAGATGTGTAGTTTTTGTGGTGTTGTCTTCTATGGTTAGAAAGAAACAGAAGAATTGAGGATAAATTAGAAGATATGGAGGGTTAGTGGGATAAAATTTTGTGTTTGACATTTGTTTTGGTTTTGATGTCTCCTCTATGGTGATACCGTTGTTTTTAGTAGAGATTGGAGTGCGGTGTGTGACATGTAATTTTCTTTTCATGTTTGATGGACTTCTTGTACACCATTGAACTCTTTGTACCTCTTATTGTTCTTTTTTTCTTTTTTAATAATATTTTTGTTGCTTGTAAGAAAGAAGTGGGTGAAGCAGAAGAAATGTTGTTCTTATTTAGCTAAAAGCAATATGATTTAAAAAATTGTTATGCGAAGTAAACTTTGTTCTTTTGATTTGTTTCTTAGTGTCATATTGATGTTTCCATTGCATTGCTGTCACTTACACAGTGGAACATGAGAGATTGGTTGAAGCATACTCAGTTGTAAACCAAAAACTGCAGCATTCTCTTTCTGAACAGACTAATTTGGAGAGGACCATCCGGGAATTCAAGGTTTGTGATGTTATCATGGTCAAGGGTTTTGTTCTTTCATTTTTGCATTGATGCTTATATATTTGCTTCGTAGGCTGATTTGAGGAGGTGTGAACGAGACTACTCTATAGCACAGAAGGAGATTGTTGATCTCCAGAAACAGGTAATGGGGAGAGCATCACAAACCTGTTTAGTTTTGAACCACATCGGATTGCTAACTCATTATTTTTTCATATTAATTGTCTACACTTCTCTTACTAATAAGTTAATATCATAGGTGACGATCCTTCTAAAGAAATAATGCCGAGATGTACAACTTCGTTGTGGATCTGTGGGTCATGATTATGCTGATTACAGTACCACTTTTCCTGTTGTTGAGTTAAATGCTGACTCTGATGCTGAAAAAGTTATTTCTGAAAGGCTGGTAAATTGTGATTTTTTGTTCCTCAGTTTTCAATGGGCCTTTCTTGCAATTCAATACTTAGTGACAAAATGTTGATGCGTCTTTGAATATAAAACTTGTTACAGTTGACCTTTAAGGATATAAATGGGTTAGTTGAGCAGAATGTCCAGCTCCGAAGCCTTGTGCGAAGTTTTTCTGACCAGATTGAAAATAGAGAAATGGAGCTGAAGGTTTAAAGCACACCTTTTGTTTGCAATATTATCTCATTCATTGTACTGCGCCCCATTGGTTTTGCATTTGTGTCAATAGACTTGTTTGAAGTGTCTCATTGATTTTTCTGCAATTTCAGGAGAAGTTTGAGGTAGAACTTCAGAAACACACTGATGAGGCTGCTGCCAAAGTTAATGCTGTACTAGCGAGAGCTGAAGAACAAGGGCAGATGATCGAATCACTTCACACCTCTGTAAGCATTCCTCAAGGCTTAGACTTTCACACAAGCACTGCTTGGACTCTTATCGTTTCTAATGCCATGTGACATATTTTTCTTTTTTCTTTTTGTGCTTTGGATAGGTTGCAATGTACAAAAGGTTATATGAAGAGGAGCATAAACTTCATTCACCTTACCCCCGCACTGCGGAAATTGCTCCAGGTACTCTCCGTACAATTTTTGTTGTATGGTTTTCCCATCTAATTGATTTAATTATACTAATTTTTAGCCAGGCCAATATTCCTTCTCAATTGAGATATTAAACCCGTCTTCTTTTATTAAGTGCTTGTCTGACTAAATATGTGATTGGTAATAAAGAAGATTCTCATTGATAGAAATTAGTGCATGCTTTGCTAAGTTAATATTGATAGGTGTTGCAATCGTGTGTGTGCCATTTCATGTTTGTTTTTGGTTTCCTGAGATTCTTTGCCATATGTGCAGTACAGCCAGAAATAGATAGACAAGTAACATTTGACACACACAGATAAACGTCCTCTGGAGCACCACCACAGCACCACACAAAAAAGAAGAAGAAGAAGAAGAAGAAGTAAAAAACAAAAGGAAATAAGAACCCACATCACCCACTTTTTACCTTTTCCCATTTTTGATCACCAGCATCAGGTTGAGACCCCTTATATTAAACTCTAGTGTCTGATCAGTATTGTAAGCTAGGGATTAATCTTTACGGTATTTTATGGTCACATGTGTATATTACTGTGGATTTAGTCTCGGAATTTCTAGAGTGCTTGATTTCTGTAATAAAATTGCACTAGGTTTAATCTTTTTTTAACTGAACAACTGCTGTCAGGAACTTCTCTTGGATGCTGAGATCAAATTAAACAAAGAAGATTTTGTTAGGAAAAAAATTTAATTTTGGTATTTTCTATCCTTGTTTGTTGGGAAGTGCTATAGTCACATCCATAGTTGACAAAGTGTGAATTGAAGCCATTTTTTTTTCTCTAAATTGTGAATCGTAAAGATTCGGTCATAATTTATAACTTACATAGAAATATATATGCATTTAGAAATTAAAGATATGTTATATATATGAAAAATTTACACCTAAATCAATGATTAGACTGTTTTGAATGATGATAACATGGTCGGTCTAATAGGTTAGACGCTTGCTTCTATGGTAAGAGATGTGGGTCTGAGATCACGGTGTGATCTAATAGGAGCTGAAAAAAGATTTCCTTCAGGCAATTGTTTGTCATGTTGAGTGTTATCTGGAACATGGACAGACCTGGTTTGTGTAATGGAAACAAGAAGTGGAATGTGGTATGTGGTGCGCCACATGCTCAAAAATGTGGTGTGATACAGTTAGACTTGTCTAGATTATTCTATTAAAATTTAAGGTACTCCTAGAGCAATTAGACATCCAATAAAGGAAAAAGATTGAGACCCCTAAAAGTCTCCCCAAATTTACGCACAATGACATGACAAGTTACATGTTAACTTTTTATTTGTCACGAATTAAACCATGTAAAGGCCCAACTCCCTTGTCATGTTATTGTGGGTCTCTAGCATTCCTTTCCTATAAAATATAGTTTTTTGTCCCCCCGAACTAATCATGTAAAAAAACTTCTATTTGAGTATTATGACCCATTTTTGTACATTTTCTTACGTCAAAACTCCAATCTTCTTAGATTTTAGTTTTTCTATTTCATTTTCTTTCCTCATAAGGAGACCTTAATAAAATATGTTGGCATTTTTTTAGGGGATCACTTTGGATTGCTTAATTCACCACATTGGAACAAAAGTTCACCCATATACCAAAATGTAAATCGCTAGGGTATTAGCAATCTCTGAACATTGGTCATGTCGTTATGTATTATGGAGTTCTTGTCATGGGGTCTCTGGCGAGTTTGGTCCTGAGGACTTTGTTGAAGTACAGTGGTTGCTAAACTTTTATTGAACCATAAACCTGGCTGGCTTTTGTATAGATTTCTTCTCAACCATAGATAGTTGTGCTGATATTTGTTCAATTCATAGGCATTTTCTACTGTGAGTGGATGCATATATAGACATGGTGGGTGTGTGATTAGGGGTGGTCTAAATAGGGATATTCTTTTTCCTAGCAAAGTGGGAAGTTATTGTTGCACATACAAACATTTACGAAGGCATTATCCTGAAAACCTCTGATTGTGTAACTACCTTCAAGAACTAAAAGCAAACGACCAAATACCTTTATGTGAATCTCGGGATAGATTTTGAACTGAAATTTCACCTGGTTCAGAAACAAAGAGTTTCAATTTTAGGTGGTATGGCATGTCTTTAAGAATTTTTTTTTTAGAATGTGTCTGAATATAGTTGAAGTCAGATAGTACTTGCTGAGATTCTTTGAGATGGATGGACAATGTGAAAGCTGTATATTAATTATATTTATGGGGATAGTGACTAATGGAACAACATTATTTTTTGAAGTCATTATTTTTTTTCCACCTCCTCAATTGCTTGTTTTATTACATGGATATGGACAAGTGGATCAGTGTGCTGAATACATGATTTTTATTTCTTCATCATCATTTGTTTTCTGAAGACATTGGGGGTGTTTGTTTCAGCTTTTCAAAGCTAACTTATGGCTTTTAGCTTTGAAAAAGTTATTTTGGACTGTTTGGTTAAACTTATTTCAAACAGCTTCTGATTCTAACAGCTTATTTTAACTCAAAAAAGCTGATTTTGAGAAGCTGCTCACCCCTTGCTTCTGATTATCAGTTTCTGCTGTGGACATGTTAATTTATGGTTATACTCTTAGATTTTTTTATTTTTTATTTTTTTAAAAATAGAAAAAGATCCAAATGGACTATAGATTATTATTATTTTTTATGAGAAATGTAGACAAACAAAAAATAAAAATTAATTGAAAAAGCTATTTCACACCTTATTTAACAAACACTACTCAGCAAGTTAAATCTATAATCCAACAACTACACCAAACAGATTAATAACTTCTGATTAAAGTCATAATCTATAATCTATAATCTATAAGCTGTTTTAACAGCTACACCAAACGAGACCATTATTTTTCTCAAATCTGTCCCTCATTGGGGGTGGCATTATATGGATATAGGCATTATTTTGTTTTTGGTTATTTCCTTGCATCAGCCAATTCAACTTACTCCTTGGTTCTTGCAGATGATGGTAGGGAAGACCTTATGCGTCTATTTGAAGGTTCACAGGTAGGTCTGAAAAAAAGCCTTATGAATAGATGGTCGTGTCTACTTCTATTTTACTTTGGTGTTTTTAACCTATTTGTTAATATTTCATTACAGGAAGCTACAAAAAAGGCCCAAGAAGAGGCTTCTGAGCATGTGAGATGTTTGGAAGAAGATTTGGGAAAGTTGAGGTATATTTGATTTGTTTGAATTTCTTCTTTTTCTTCTTCATTTTCTACTTTCTACTGTAAGCTTAGAAGCTTGCACTGTTGAAAGAACTCGGTGATCTGTTTTGTGAATTTTAACTTGGATTGTACACCTTCTTCTTCTTAAAATGTTTTATACTTTAATATATATCAGTATTGGTGGGTCCCCATGCTTAGCAGAAATTGGAGCCACTTTATGTTCCTGAAAATGGATCCATGGACAATTTGTCTGCTAAAGAGGGTGATTTGTTGTTTCAAATAATAAAGACTATAAATTAGCTAAAAGGCTTTTATGTTGCTATAACACAGGCAGCTAATACATAGGTATTGGATATGTAACGCTGTTTGGAAGGTGGAGACTGTTATCATTTGACACGTCTTCGTCAGCTTGCCTTTTTTGTCTTTAAAATATTTTTTCATCTATCATGAGGTTAGAATACAATACAAATAGAAGAAGACGCACTCAGTTACTAGATTCGTCATTATTTTGTTCTTGGCTTGGTTTTTTGACCCTCCTCTGTTTCTTTAGTCCTCCATGCATTCTCTGATGCTGATTGAGTTGGTTGCCTGCATACGAGATGTTCTACTTTTGGTAGTGTGTCTTCTTGGGTCTGAATCTCATTTCTTCAAGTGCTAAGAAACAACCTATGGTATCTTGTTCTAGTGCTCAGGTCTTTGTTTTGATTAGGCAATCTTCTGCTTGAGTTTCATGTGCCTCTTTCCACTCTTGTCATGCTCTACTGTGTCTGTGACAACCTTAATATGATTTCCATGGCTTCCAACCCTGTCTTCCATGCTCGAACCAAGCTTATTAAGTTCGACTATCATTTCATTTGGAAGATTGTTCTCTCTAGAAGCGATCGAGTTTAGTTCGTTCCTTTTGCAGACCAAACTGCAATATCTTTACTGAGAGGCCACACAAACATTGCTTTGAGCTTTTGCGGTCTGAGCTCATCCTCCCTAGATTGTTGAGTGGCAGGGGAATGTTAGACGATCCCCCTAATTTGGTGTCCCTTGACCTTTTGAATATTTGCAAATGTTTTGTTACGTATGTTTATGTTTAGGTTTAGGCATAATTTCTTTATGTTGTAAGATGTATTTATACCTCAATTAAGAAGAATACAATGATCGCATTCTCAATTCCTTACAAATTAGCATAGTAAAGAGGCATTAAGAGGGTGCAAACCAAATTTGTTATCGCTAAAGGTGATCAATCAAGTTCTAGTGTGTTGCGTATGTGGTGGCATTACTTGATGATAAAAAAGAAGTTCATTGATGCATTTGGAGGGACATGCTGATTTTCATGTCACAATTGCTAAATAGGTGTGCCTTACACTTTCTGTTATTTTGATGATAAGTGTAACGGTTGCAGATTAGTCCAAAACGTTGTGAAGGTGAATTAGCCCTGTTTAAATGTCAGGGGGTGAAGTGCTTCAAGGGCAAACCACAAGGGAGTAAAATGGATTTGCCCCCTTTTTTTATTGGAGAACTTTATTCTTTATGATGTTTATATTCGATCATTACTGTTAAGTTTCTGTATTTTGTATTTTGACGCAACATAAGGTTTTATAGAGTCATAATTCTGTTTTTGGAAAACAAAAATGTGTGAATGAGGTCCTTAACAAGCAATTCAACTATCAATCATCACAAACATGTGACAGTCAATAATCATCATCAAATCAGAGCAAAGATGCTAAATTTTTCTACAAGTTTATAGATCAATTTTCTGATGGTGTAACTGTCCACAATTTCTGATGGTGTAACTGTCCACAATTTGTATCAGGAAAACCAAATGAAATAAAAAACATCATATCTTGAGGCCATATAAAAATTAAGGTTGAATAACTAGATCTAGAGGCTTCCAACATGTGGTTATCCCTTAGAGTTAGTAACAGTGAATGGTCCACTCACGGGGAAACAAGAATGTCGGGTGGAATAATTGAGTTTGACTGCAAAGGAATAAACGGAAAACAATGATCAATGGATGGATTGAAAAAGGGAGGTTGTACAACTCAGCAAGAGGGAAGGTGCACCAAGTTATTCAATCCTCTTGAACAACATTCAGCATACACGTTGTGCATAAAAGTCGCAGGTGGTGTCATATTTGTCCTCATTGCACAATAAGATTTAAATAAGAAAAGAAGGAAGAACCGGTGAATTGGGAGAAAGAAAAAGAGAATGAGGAAGCGGAGAGTACGTAGCAGCTTTGCAACTTCTTCAAACTCACAGAAAAACAATCCCACTTTAATTTGAGTGAGTTTACCACTCTGAAGCACAATATCTAAGTGGTGGTACAACTCTAAAGTACTGTAATTTATAGATAGGGTACAACTTGTAATAACGCTAATCGTCACTCTCCAATTTATATTGCCTTAAACTTATAATAACCCTAATCTTCTTTCTCCAACAAATGATAACAATAAAAGACAATCAAGGAAATCCCATTCTAGAGGCGGTAAATATTAATGATAATATTGGCCCCAAGTTCCATTACTTTTATCCCTCTCTTGGTAGGCATTTTCTTCACATTGATTTGTTTTTGTTGCTTTTGGTCTGGGTTAATTGAACACGCAATTTATCATCTTCGCCTCTATTATTTTCTTTTTAAGTATATTTTTATTTGCTGTCAAATTCACAAGCAATTGTATCACTTACATGGAAAGCCTTTTTTTTTCCTTCAATTTTTAATTTTTGCATCAGGAGTGAGATGATATCACTACGATTAGAACGTGACAAGTTGTCTCTAGAAGCAAATTTTGCACGTGAGAAACTTGACAGATTTATGAAAGAGTTTGAGCATCAGGTTAATTTAGGCATCTTCACCACTACCTACTGTTCTCTCTGTTTCTCTCTCTCTCTGTACAATTTATTATTTTATTTATTTATGGTTATGGTAGACTTGAGCATTGTTGCCTGTATTGGTTTTTTCTTACCTTTCTACGGTGGATAACATGTCAGAGAGATGAAACCAATGCTGTTATATCCAGAAATGTTGAATTCTCACAGTTAATAATTGACTACCAACGAAAGCTACGTGAAGGTTCTGAGTCTTTGCGTGTTGCTGAGGAGCTCCCACGAAAGTTATCGATGGAGGTGAATACTGTTGTTTGATTGAATGGTTGCCAAGGATTCATGCTGAACTTATTCATCAAATTTCGTATTGCTTCACAGGTCTCTGTCTTGAAGCATGAAAAAGAGATGTTGTTGAACTCAGAAAAGAGAGCTTGTGATGAAGTTCGTAGCTTGTCTGAGAGGGTTCATCGTTTGCAGGTTTTTAAAAATTTCTTTGAAATACTTAAGTTGGTTGCAGTTTGGACATGGAATAATATGTTATATTCTCTTTTTTCTTTGGCATATTTTTGTATGCTTGTGTGCAGGCTAGTTTAGACACTATCCAGAGTGCAGAGGAAGTTCGTGAGGTAGCTAATCGATATAATATTAATGTGTATTTTTCCTTGTAAATGTACAACCTTACCATGTTCACTTCTATATGGTACTGTAGGAAGCGAGAAGGGCGGAGAGGAGAAAACAAGAGGAGTACATTAGACAGATTGAGGTGTGTGACTTGTTGGATGTCATACTGAAGACCTCCCATTCTCTTTCAAACCTTTTTTTGGGTTGTTATCACCTTTCACTTGATCATATTTTATGCTGGGGCATTGATATTTGTGGTCTAATATGCTTGCAGAAGGAATGGGCCGAGGCTAAGAAAGAGCTTCAAGAAGAGCGTGATAATGTTCGGCGGCTCACACTTGATCGAGAAGAGACAATGAAGAATGCTATGAGACAAGTTGAGGAAATGGGGAAAGAATTAGCTAATGCCTTGAATGCTGTTGCTGCAGCTGAGTCTAAGGCAGCTGTTGCTGAGGTCTCTAACTACAAATTTAATTACCCGTTCAACCAACAATTCTTCCTGGAGAAAAATAAATTTATCTAGTTTTCATTAATGCTCTTTTTAGTCATTTCTTGACGATGAAAAGAAGTTTGATAGTTGTTGTAATATTGGTAAATCTCAGGCCCGATATTCTGATATGGAGAAGAAGATCAAATCTCCAGAAACTAAGGTACTTCTAATAATTTGAATTAACTTTGTAGTAGTCTTGTTTCCGAAAATTTTACTCTAAAGTACACATCTTGTTGTCTTTGGTCAAGCATCTTCTGTACTATGTCTACAGAAGTTGCTAGCTGAACATCTTTCTCTCTTTTTGTCAAAGATGTCTTGGTGTAAACTGAACCTTGAAGTCCATGTGAAAGCTTTGTTTCTCATTTGAGAAATTTGTTTCTTCTTGCTGTTTTGTTTTTCATTAGACCTGGTATTTATTGAGCGGGTATAAGGTTTAGAAATTTAAATTAATTCCCGTCCATGCAACTCTTCCCCCCTGCCCCCATTCCTTCAATGCAGATTGCTGGGAATGACAGTGAATGCGGAATTTCCTCTCCCTCAACCAATGATGTGAGTGTATTTCTTCCTTGAACAAGATCTATATGAATGTTTGTGCTCTAGTATTTTGTGTCCTGTGTCTGCTACATGTTTGTATATAATCACATCCTAGCTCCTAACAGCTCCTGTAAAACTTTGGCATTTGGGCACTCCAATTATCAGTATCCAGACTCCTCTGGATTTTATTTAACATTTTAAATGAGTGACACGTTATGACTAGTTAGAAAATCATCAGTAGGGTTGCTGCCAAGTTCATCAAACAAAAAGTTGATGTGCTTTAGCTTTGACAAAGGCCCAAAGAAGCTGCTCCGGGGCCCCCCCTCTATAACAAATTCACTTCGAACAAATTCCAATTGCCCCACCATCTACCATATTTTGTTACCACCACCACTCTTTTCCAGTATCTGTCCCTCTTACAAGAAAATCCCCACAGCCATTTATCCACGAGGGCTTTTTTGAAACAACAAGATGGTTACTTAAAGTCCTCACCTACACTCCACATATGAAGTCACACAATAACTTTTCACGTTTATTCACATCTGAGACTGGAATAGTGTGAACTGATATGAATTAGGTCAATAGACTTGTGAAAGTGCTTTTTACAAGATTGAATTGACTGCACTTAGAGTGATACTCTCTCCTAACTTGCCAGTATCCGCTCCATCCCTGACAACCTTTGCCTTAAATAACGATACCACATCTAAACCATGATATGGTACTTAAAAGTCCTCTCCTACACTACCCATCTAAAGTCACAAGGTAAATTTCCTAACTTATTCGCGTCTGAGACTGGAGTAGTGTGAAGCAATATGAAATAGGCCAATAGGCCTTCAAAAGTGCTTTTAACAAGATTGAATGGACCGCCCTTTCACTGATACTCTCTTCTAACTTGCCAATCTTCTCTCCATCCCAAACAATAATGGCCTTAAATGACGATACCACAACAAAACCATGGTATGTTACTGGAACAATGAATGGAAGCAAAAGCCTCAACATGTGGGGCGTCTCTCGCCGGAATCAACTTAATCTTTCTCAAGTTCATCACTAGGCTTGTAATGAGCTCAAAACAAAAAAAGGACATACTAGAGATAACCAAATTGGACAAGATTTACCCCACAGTAAATCATCGTATATTTTTTTTTTTTGATAAATAAAATCAGGATTATTAAAAAGTATCAAGGTAATGCAAAGAATACAAAACTACTGCCCACAAGAGGCCAGAACAAAAAAACCTAAGAAATCAAATCATCCACAAAATTTACAAAGGCCAAGACATCCGGGTTCACCGACAGGGTAACCCAACTATGAAGAACCACAAAGAACCTGCTCTCCAACCAAGACACTGGATGATAGATCCCTTGAAAAATTCATCTCTTATGCTCCAACCAAATCAGTCACATCAAGCAATGAGCACCAAGCAACCACTGCCTCCGGCGACACCTCCCAACTCTCGCCCCCCTCTAACTCTGAAGAACCCCCACAACTGAACCCAAACCAACCCAAACAAACCAACAAGAAGCGACCAAAGCCGTGTTGCTACCAAGCAATGGATAAGCAAATGATTCATTGACTCAGCATCTCCACGACACATGTAACACCAATTGACCAAAATATGCTTGCGTCGAATCAAATTATCAATAGTCAAATACGCCCTAAAGCTGTTGTCCATACAAAAAAGGCAACCTTAGGAGGAGACCTTGTGACCCAAACACTGCAAAGGAAACACCACCGCTGTCCCTCCCACAAGCTCACGATAATATGAAACTACCGAAAAAAACCCTTTGGACTTTAGACACGCCCACACCAGTGAATCCCCCCCAGCTTCCCCACATTGCACCTGATACAAGAATCCCAGAAGATCCACCAATTGGCCCACCTTCCAATCCTGCACATCACGCCGCAAAAGAATGTTCCACATAGTCATCTGCCCTTGACCACAGTAAATCATCATATTATCAACATATAACAGATGAGAAACTCCATTGGAGCACCCTCTCCAACATACCCACTCTATACCCCTCCAAAACCCCCTTGCACCATCCTACTAATCATCTGTGGAGCTTCATAACCAAAATGAAAAGAGAGGGAGATAAATGCTTCCCTTGCCTCAATCCCCTTAAGTTCTGACTCTGCGTCTCCTTTATCATATGCCTTTTCAATGTCCACCTTGCAAATCACCTCTGCCTTCCCACTTCTCAAGCTAGAGTCAACCTACTCATTAGCCACTACCACATTCGAAATTTAGTCGCTCCTCCACAATGGCATTATGAGTATATGATACCACCGTCGTCAACATCTTTAGCTGAGTAGTTTTCATTAATTATTTTTGTCTGGTAAATTTATCCAGTAATTGGGGCAAAAGACGAATGCGCTTAATGTTGACATAATTTCAACTCCCTTTAATATGACTTGTACTTGTCTCTTCCCTTTCTTCTTTCCTGTGAAGCATGGACACATCTTTCAAGGAACATACACATGTCCAACACTTCAGACAAGTGTATGTTTGTGTGCTGTTTTTCTATTTTAGCTAGACATGCAGATATGTTTTTCAGAACATCTCATGGACATAATGGGGTTCCTTTTATAAGTTTTGAAATTTTCAAGTGACTGGTCAATATATAAAAACTAACTTTTCAGCTTAAAGGGAAAAAAGTGGACAATGTGTGTTCTGCGATCTGGTTTATCGACATTCTAACCCCTCAGATCAGCTGCGCAAGAGTCTATTTTTTTACTTCTATTTTTCTTCTTTTTTCCCCCTCATTTTTTTTTTTAATTTTTTTAATTTTTTATTGTATAGGAGCGTTCTTATTTTTTTCCTCTCAATTGTGGTTATCACAAAAAATTTGACCATTTTTGTCATAACTTTCTGCAGGCTATTTCCGACTTGTGTGTTGCAAGAGAGGAGATTGAAAAACTGAGAGAGGAAACACAAGTTATTAAGACCCACATGCTGCAGGTATGTACCTCGTATAGAATTGTTTTTATTGTGTTATTCCTTACAAAGTTTCTTGGCTAAAATGCATTTTGTTGTGCAGTATAAGAGCATTGCACAGGTGAATGAGACTGCATTGAAACAGATGGAATTTGCTCATGAGAACTTCAAAAGCGAGGTATTTCTGATGCGACTTTATTCAGTGGATTATATAGCATATGTTGTTCGATAATGTGGTTAAATTTTGCTTTTATTTTAAATGTTTATCAGGCAGATAAAATGAGGATGTCACTTGAAGCTGAACTTCTGTCAGCTAGGGAGCAGGTTAAAGAACTTGAAAGAGAATGTAGTTCGAAGTCCAAAGAAGCATCATCTTCAGCTGCAGAGAGAGAAGCAGCTCTTGCTTCTGCTTTGTCAGAAATTGACCGACTTAAGCAAGAAAGTTCTGTTAAGATGTGGGGCTTCCTGTTCTTTTGCTATTTGTCATCTGATTGTAAATCTTCTGTTTCTTTCTCATATACTTTGTGCACATTTAGGTCCCAAATTGCTACAATGGATATCCAAATTTCTGCTTTGAAGGAAGATTTGGAGAAGGAGCATCAGAGATGGCGTGATGCTCAAACCAACTATGAAAGACAGGTTTTTCTTGAAACATTGACTGATCATACTTCGTAATCTGATTAATAAATGAATGATACTTGCATACATGTTTATACTTTAACAGATATTGAGTTGTAATTATATAGTATTATTTTGAGTTTGGTAATCGTTCTGTTTTCTGGTATATATTAACTTCCCATTTGTGTAGTTTCAGTTTATAGTCATCTCAGTTCTTATGTATATTAGCTTCCCATTTGTGTAGTTTCAGTTTATAGTCATCTCAATTCTTAAATCTTACGATTGAAGTATAAACATTTTTAATTGATGATAAATAAAAATTGTTAGTAAAACTTTATTCTTTACCTTTTTTGTTAAGGGGAGTTGCGTGAGAGAAACCCTGGCTGCATGCAGTTGTTGAATATTAAACTGGGAAAAAATGTCTCTTTGTGATTAGAAAAGTACATCTTGTAGTTGAAACTGTTTCGTAAATGAGAATTTGTAATTCTTTGGGGTAAAAGAAAAAAAAATAAAATTTGGGGCTTTGCTTTTAAATATTGAAAGAAAAAAAGTGGTTGCTTTTTTGCCGAAAATTTCATAGTAATATCTAGTTGCTATAGGGAACAGAATATCATTTGAATCATAGTAACTCTCAGATAGACTAAGCAACCCACAAGCTCACAAGCTCTTCATATAAAGTAGGATCAAGGCAGAGGAACACCATCAGTAGTGTTAAGTTTCACATTAAGCTGGGGTATCAGCAATCTTAGTGTCAGTAAGGCCAGCACGGTGAATAACTTCATTAGCATAGTTGGTCTGAGACAGAAAGTAGCTCTTAGAGAAGAAGCCACCTCAATATCAAGAAATACCGCAATGGGTCCAAATCCTTCATTTCGAAGGTGTGGAAGAGATGCTGCTTGACATCGGAGATAATAGAAGAATCAGAGCCAGTAATAATCATGTCATTCACATATAGTAATAAGGCAACGAAACCAGCAGAGGTGTGGAGGAGAAACAAAGTAGAGTCTTGGGCAAATGGATGAAACCTAAGCTTAGTAACAATAGTTTGAAAGCGATCATACGAAGCACGAGGAGATTGCTTCAGACCATACAGAGCACGCTGAAGACGACAAACCTGTCTAGAGAAATGGTGAAGGCCGCGGGGAGAATGCATGTAAACCTTCTCAGCGAGATGACCATTAAAAAAAGCATTCTTAACATTCATCTGATAAAGAGGCCAATGACGAATAACAACAGTAAATATCAAAGTACGAACAATAGTCATTTTGGCAACAAGGGCAAATGTCTCCTCATAATCAATACCATACTCCTGTGAAAAGCTCTTGGCAACCAGTCGAGCCTTGTAGCGCTCAAGAGAACCATCAGAATGAGTCTTGACTTTGTAGACCCATTGGTAACCAACCAGATTCTTACCAGCAAGCAAAGAAACTAACTCCCAAGCACTATCTTTCTCCGAAACAGACAACTCATCCTCTAGAGTTTGAATCCAATGAAGATCCTGACAGGCTTCCTTACAAGACTGAGGTTCTAAAAAAGAGTGAATAGCATACAAAAATGTACCGTATGAAGGAGAAAAACATGTTTTAGCAAAATTAAATTTGAATACCTGTTTACGGAGGCGAAGGGGATACTTACGGTTAGCAAGATTAGAGTTGTCAGAAGCAGGAGGATTAATAGTAGGAGCAGAGACAACTGGTGGATGGAGAGCCTTGCGACGAGAATAGACTAACATCGGAGGAGGAGGAGGAGGAGGAGAAGGAGGAGGAGTCGGAGTAGGCAAGGAAGGAGGAGGAGAGGAGGGAACAGACTCATGTGGGTTAGTGGAGAGGGACTCGGTAGGAGGGGTGGTACAAGGAGAAGAGGGAATAAGCTCATGGGGAACAATAGAGATGTACTCATTAGGAGGGACCTCAGAAAGAAATAGATCAATATGAACTAAATCCTCTATGGAAACGGGGCTGTGAGAGGAGGAAGCTGAAAGTAAGGTAGACGTTCAAGAAAGGCAACATGTCGGTAGACATAAAGGCAACAGGAAATAGGGTTATAACAACGATAACCTTTTTGAGTGAGTCTGTAATCCAAGAAGACACATAGGACAGACCGGGCACTAAGTTTTGTCCTATCTTTATGGGATAAAAGGACAAAACAAACAGACCCAAACACATGAAGGAGGGAGTAATTAGGAAGTTGAAAAAATAGAGCCTCATAAGGAGAATGACCACCTTAAAAAGGAGCCGGAACGGAGGTAGAGAGGTGTAAGAAATAAATTGATAGATAGAGAATAAATTTTATGTATTATTGATTGATTTGTTGATATATTGTATTACAATGATTCATGATTCCTATATATAGAAGAGGGTGAGTGTGTAGTAGGTAAGGAGTAGGTGAAGTGGAGGTGGTAGTGGTGTAGTGGGTTAGGTTTAGTGGAGTAGGTTTAACAGTCCCCCTCAAACTCAAGGAGGTTAGACACAAACCAACTTGAGTTTGGAGAGAGTAACAAAACAGGAAAGTAAACTGATAAATAAAACAGGATAGGAGACACGGTATGGTCGTGTCAGTCCGATGTAGAAGACAGTTTATGGGGTCATGTCGGACCGGTGTAGAAGACACTGTTGTGACAGTTGTTGTGACAGGTTACGGAGTCTTGCTGGACCCTTGTAGAAACTAACCGGAATCAATGTCGGGACAGTTTACAAAGTCTTGTCGGACCCATAAAGGAGCTAACCGGAATCAATGTCGGGACAGTTTACAAAGTCTTGTCGGACCCATAAAGGAGCTAACCGGAATCAATGTCGGGACAGTTTACAAAGTCTTGTCGGACCCATAAAGGAGCTAACCGGAATCAATGTCGGGACAGTTTACAAAGTCTTGTCGGACCCATAAAGGAGCTAACCGGAATCAATGTCGGGACAGTTTACAAAGTCTTGTCGGACCCATAAAGGAGCTAACCGGAATCAATGTCGGGACAGTTTACAAAGTCTTGTCGGACCCATAAAGGAGCTAACCGGAATCAATGTCGGGACAGTTTACAAAGTCTTGTCGGACTTAACTAAAAATTTTACTTCTCAAACAAGGCCACCATGTAATGGATTGCAATTTTCCATTACTCTGAGCACCATGTAAACTAGGCCACCGCGTACTAATCTGGAACCACTTTATAATTTTTCATCGTATAGGGTCTTAACTCTCATCATAATTAATTTACGAGCTTAAAATAATAGAATTTTAGTATTTCTTAGGATTAATTATGGAAAACATTTCGTAAAAAATGTCCACTTTAATTAGGAGGATCTCATATGATTAACGTGCCTTTTTCATCGGAGCCGTTTGTTGCTGGCTTGTTGGCACTATTCCTAGACATCACGTTGCATCGGACAGAGAACACAAGGAAGGACAGGGGCATGCACTGGTGGGACAGGTTCCGGTCGTTCAAAACTGACACAAGGAGTGAAGAATTCTATTCACTGCCCTTCAATCTCAACAAGTTCTTCCCATCAGTGTAGTTTTTTCTGGGCTGGAGAGATCAAATTTTATAGGTAATATTATGATATCAGTGTAATTTTCCCCAAAAATAGCTCATTGTGGGTGTTGCAACTTTCTATTTACTTTACCTTTTTTGCCCTTTGAGACACCAACTAAGCAGTATACATGAATATGTTGGTTTTCACAGCACAACACTCCTTTGAGTTGTTTTCTTCTTTTTGCCCCTCTATTGTTGAACTGTTAAAATTTAGCATGTCATATCTTTTAGCATAGTAATTAAATCTTACAAAAAAAGAAAGGAAAAAAAAAAACCCCCCTTGGGGGGGGGTGTTTTTTTTTTTTTTTTTTTTTTTTGTGTAAAAGTGGGAGCAGGGTTGATACCTGAGATGAATAAAATATGGTTTGGTGTGAAAATTTGTAAATTTTTTTTTTTATTTTTTTTATTTATTATTTTTTTATTTTATTTTTTTATTTTTTGTTTTAAATAAAAGATAAAAAGTTGAGGTTCAAAGAAAAGTTGGGCGGTGGAAAATGTGATGATGGTTTTGAGTGGAGAATATTTTTAAAAGATATTTCTCTCTTTTTTGTGTATGATGATGTCTGCTCCTCTGCCGACATCACAAACCCTCTTCAGCCTCAGCTTTCTTCTCTTGGAACAATGGCAGCGGCCGGAAAAGCCACTGCACTTGCTGGAGGCTGCGTTTTCCGACGAACTGCACTTTCTCTTCAACAAGGGCGGTTTTCCTGAAACGCCGACGACGACGAAAGTTGCTTGCTGTCGGTGTCTCCCGTCAAAGACGACATGAATGAGGTGGTGGCGTCGGAAATCGCCGGCGAATATGAGGAGAAATTAATCGATTTCGACGCCGAGTCTTTCCGATCAATAACCCCATTTTTCACGATCATGAGGTGGTCGTGCTGAGATTGAAGATGGTGGTGGTGAGAATTTGGGTGAGGAACAGCGAGAGGAACTTGTTGGATTGGTCTCGGGCAATAGATTCTAGTCGATTCAGAGACTTCTTTGGAGTCTCTGTTCTGGTTTTGAACCGGTAACGCCAGAGGGGCTCCTCTGAACCGGGCATGGCCGGTTCTAGTCCGACCCAGAAGAGAAATGACTCGCTTGAACTTGGTTACAGCCACATCAGCAACTGCTCTACAGTCCATCTCTATCTCCATAGTCGATCTCTGCTCTGAATTAGCTGATAATTGACCCTCTTGTCTCTGTTGTTGTTGTTGAGACTGAGAAAGAAGTCTAATGAGCTTCTCAACACTCTCTCTCATGATTTTGGTGGGGATGATCATGCATCCGCCAACCCCAATGCAGGGAGTATGTCCAAGTTGAAGGAACTTGTGAAGAGGCACTCTGAGCTCATTAACGACCCAATCTACCTCTGGATAGAGAAGACCACAGAGAAAGAAATTAGTGAAGATGAAGATGAGGAAAAAAAGAAAGAAGAGTTTCAGGTATGTGTTTGTGGTATGTGTTGAAAATTCTAGCGGACTAGGTTGAGGTCCAGCGGGCGGCCAAGGCGAGGTTGCCGCCCACCGATGAAACGAAAAATATTAAATTCTTAACCTTGCTCTGATACCATGTAAGAATTTATGTATTATTGATTGATATATTGATTGATTATCTGTCTATTACAAATGGTTCTTTATATAGATGTAGGTGTAGTGGATGGTGGTGGTAGGTGAGTGTGAGTAGGTTTAAGTGGGTGAAGTAGGTGGAGAGTATGTGGATTTAGTGGGTTAGGTTTAGTGGAGTAGGTGAGGTGGTAGTGGTGTAGTGGGTTAGGTTTAGTGGAGTAGGTTTAAGTGGGTGAAGTAGGTGATAGGTTTTAACAAGAGGAGAGACCTCGTTGTCTCAAGAAGATGACGGTGTTTACGCTCAACTCGAATATTTTGGGTAGGTGTATCAGTACAGGAAGTTTGGTGAATGGTACTTAAATTGGCCAAATATTCACAAAATTTAGTTTTAAAGTATTCCCTGCCTAAGTCAGATCGCAACAATTTAATAGTAGGCCCAAACTGTGTAGTGACTATAGACTAAAAAGTACGGTATATCTGGTAAAAGTCAGACTTTTGAGTCATAAGATAAACCCAAGTGTAACGGGTGCAGTCATCAACAAATCAAACTTAGTATGCAGAGCCCCCTTTAGTGAGAACATGAAAAGGATCCCAGACGTCAGTATGAACTAAAGAAAACAGTGTATCAGATATAGAGGTACTTTTACGAAAAGTAAAGCTATTATTTTGGCAAGTTTACCCCCTGATACTCAGTAAGTTGATTAGGAGAAATTTGACCCAATATACCTGACTGAGTTAAGGACCGTAAGCAGTTAACAGACAAATACCTTAATCTGGAATGCCACAAATAGAAAGGACTTAACAAAGAATCTAATTGAAAAGAGGAAAAAACAGTCGAAGAGGTAGTCATAGGCAGATGTAGGCTCTTCACCACATAGAGATCTCCAACTTTACGACCAATCCCAATTTGCTGCTTGGACATCTGATCCTGCACAGAACAGATAGAAGAAGAAAAGATAACATCAAAATCGAAGGCATCAAGCTGACTGATAGATAATAAACTGACAGATCACTGAGGAATATAAAGGACAGATGGAATAGAAATAACAGATAGTAAGCCAGACCCAACAGATATAACAGACATACCAGACCCATTAGTAGCACTAACAGTAATAGGAAAGATAAATGGAGTACAATTTTGAAGTAAGGAGAGATGGGGAGCCATATGATGAGAGGCACCAGAGTCAAAAATCCAAACAGACGAAGAGATACCTGAAGAAAACCTAAGCAAACCTAAATGAAGAGAGGAAACAATGGAGGCAGATGGGGATGGTTGGGAGGTAGATAGTATATGCTGAAGCTGACAAATTTGAGCACTCGAGAAAGCGAAGTCAGGATCAGGGGCCGGAGCTGATGCAATATAAATAGCTGGAGTCTGAAAAGCACTCTGAGAAGGAGCGTAGAACCAAGTCTGAGACTGCTGAAAGGACGAGATAGATAGATGTCCCTTCTTGGGACAATGATACTTCCAATGGCCTCGCTGTTGGTAGAAGGCACACTCATCAAAATCTGGAGATATCATAATAATCAGAGAGATAAGGGGTTTAAGTGGAATAAACCCCAAATCCAAAACCACAGTGTAATATCCAAGTGTTGGGTCTAGATGTATAATAATCAATTCCCCCAAGACCCACAAATATCAATGAAACGAGATAAGCCGAGAAAACCAATTCAGAAAGAGAACCTGAAGCTGAAGAAAACCTTCGCGTCAGAGAGAGACAGAGAGAGGCAATAAGCTTTGACCCACCACGTGACAGATGAATCATGAACCAGAGGTGAGAGAAGTGAACCAGATGAGTAGCAAAAACCAATTGTACGAGACAGCGATGGTGATGACCTAGCTTCACAAGCCAACGAGAACCCTCACGATCAGACCCAGACTAGAGTCGAGCCAGAGTCTCAAGTCAAAACCAGAGAGGAGATGTCACGAACTAGAACCATAGGGGGCCTCGCGAGCGTGAACCAGAACTAGAGATCAAACCAAAGTAGTTCGATCGTGTATCAGACAAGTCGAGAAGAGATCAATCAAATGAATCACGAGCAAGTTAGACCTGTTCGGTCGTAACCCTAGCTACCACGAAGTCAGGAATCACAAAACTCTGATACCATGTAAGAATTATGAATAATCTGTATATTCAATTGTCAATGATATAAAGAGTACAACCGATATATATAATAATCCTAGACCTAATCTAAAAAAGGAAATAAGAATAACCCTATACAATCAATCTAAAATATACAATCAGTCTAATATATTTCCATAATTAACATAATATTCTCACAATCAGTCTAATATAATTAACATAATATTTCCATAAAAAAATTTTTTTTTGGTGCTTTGCTTTTAAATATTGAAAGAAAAAAAGTGATTGCTTTTGTGCTCAAAATTTCATAGTAATATCTAGTTGCTATAGGGAACAGACTATCATTTCAATCATGGCACGAGTAGTCTGCCTTCATTTGGAGTGTGTATGTGTGATATTATTGTCTATGGCAGTGGTCAGTTTGTTCACATCTGGCACCACCATGAGCTAGATTTGCTTAAGCTGGCAAGAATCTTTCTAAATACAAATTGTGTTTTTTGGCATTTGTGGAAAGCAAATAGAATTCAGTTCGTAGGATTTTATTTTTTATTATTTTTAATTTTTTTTTTTAAGCTCGTGGCTGAGTATTATGTGTTTATTAAAGTTTTATCAATTAGTAAGTATATGTTTAGCTAATTCTTATGCAGACAATTAGTAAGTATATGTTTATTAAGTGTTTGTAAGTCTTTCGTATTGAGTGTTTTTAAGTGTAGAAGCAAGTCTTGTAAGAACTAGTAAAAAAATTAGAACTCTTTACAATAATTTTATTGCTCCTTCACTATTGGGACTTCTTAATTTCTTTTTGCTGGGACTTGATGAAATCCTTCAGTGCTTTTTCTCTTCTCTTCTCTACTATGTGCACATTTAATGGCTTTAATCATACTTTTCAATACGCTATTATATCCATGTGAAGATCTAGGCATGTTTATAGAAAATTTAAGTTAATAGAACAGGCCCCATTAGGTGTAGCCTATTGGGGGGGGGGGGGGGGGGGGGTATCTGTTTGCCACAACCCTACCCCACATAGAAAGACCCTCCCCTCACCACCGTCCCGAACCTGAGACAGGTTGGGATTGAAAACCCCATCCCTGATCATTTTTGACCTCCTTAACTTGACCCCTGCTCAACTCCATTCACATTTATATATGTACACAAACTGCACATGTGATGTAGATGAGAGAACAGTCGGTGTAGAAGATGATATTATGTAGTTGGCTTGAACTAGTGCCAGCGGTGGCGACAATGGGCAGCAGTTGGTGTCTAGAGGATTTATTTATTTATTTTTTGGGATCGACAACAAAGAAATATTGTTGAAAAGAAAATAAAGAACTACATCAGAGTTCAATGAGAACAAGAGGTCCTCCAGGAAAATAGCAAAATAATTACATTGAAAATTAAAGAGTGGAAAAAAACAAAGATGGTGAGACACATTCTGGAGAAAAACACGAGAATGGTAGGTGAGAATAGAATGTTACATAGATAAATGCAGGATGGAGTTTTTGAGGTTGAAAGAGACTACTGTATAGAAAAGCATAAAATAAAAAGTGTGTATTTCTGAAAATATATAGAGCTATTTGGGCAGATTCAGGATGGGATGCTTTAAATGCGGTTCTTGGTATCTGTTTGCCACAACCCTACCCCACATAGAAAGACCCTCCCCTCACCACCGTCCCGAACCTGAGACAGGTTGGGATTGAAAACCCCATCCCTGATCATTTTTGACCTCCTTAACTTGACCCCTGCTCAACTCCATTCACATTTATATATGTACACAAACTGCACATGTGATGTAGATGAGAGAACAGTCGGTGTAGAAGATGATATTATGTAGTTGGCTTGAACTAGTGCCAGCGGCGGCGACAATGGGCAGCAGTTGGTGTCTAGAGGATTTATTTATTTATTTTTTGGGATCGGCAACAAAGAAATATTATTGAAAAGAAAATAAAGAACTACATCAGAGTGCAATGAGAACAAGAGGTCCTCCAGGAAAATAGCAAAATAATTACATTGAAAATTAAAGAGTGGAAAAAAACAAAGATGGTGAGACACATTCTGGAAAAAAACACAAGAATGGTAGGGGAGAATAGAATGTTACATAGATAAATGCAGGATGGAGTTTTTGAGGTTGAAAGAGACTACTGTATAGAAAAGCATAAAATAAAAAGTGTGTATTTCTGAAAATATATAGAGCTATTTGGGTAGATTCAGGATGGGATGCTTTAAATGCGGTTCTTGTTCTGATTACCGTAAATGGAAATGGTAGGAGGAGAGGAAGAGCTAATCACTGAAATGTCACGGGTAGGGTATTGACATGAAAGGTACAGAAGAGCGGCATGGCATGTGATAATAGTAAAAAAAACAAGTATGAATTTTTCTAATTTAAGTGAGCATATAGCTCTTGACAGTGCAGAATGGTGAAAAATGGTTCATGTAGCTGAAACACCTGATTGGGACACAAGGTTTTGTTTGGTTTGGTTTGTTAGTCATGGTTGAAGGCTCTATTTACAGCTATGATAAAGGTTAAATCTTTTCTGATTCACACAGTTGAACTATTGTTAGAAGACTCTCATATCAAATACATGCGACAATTGTTATTTATGAATTTAACTCTGTTCTATGAAGGCTTGAGGAAATTACAGGAAATTAGTTTTCTTTCACCATGTGTTCAACAATTTGAAAAAAATTATATAACCTGGATATTGCTATCATTGTACTGTTTATTAGTGAACATCTCAAAAGTTGTTCAGGAAATTTTGATATTTTGTTTTAATTTGTGCAGGTTATACTGCAGTCAGCGACAATTCAAGAGTTGACAAAAACATCTCAAGCTATGGCTGCTTTGCAATACGAGGCATCTGAGCTGCATAAATTGGTTGATGCACTTAAAACTGAAAATGTAATTTCTTTATTTTGCACTTAAAATTTTTCCTGTTTTCTCATTTGTCTTGTTAGCACAGCTAATTTGTTTCAGCAGTATTCGAGTTTTCAATTTGGGTAAAACTAGTTTGTCTTTTTATCATTAGTATAGTAATTAGTAAAGTATTTCTCTGTTATTTTGTTGTTTTTCTAGTTTTTTTTAATGATTCTTTCTTTCCCCTTTTAACATTGAATTTCATAAGGATTTAAGGTCATTGGCAATATGGTTGTCTGTGTCATTCTTCACTGAATATGGGAAGTTCTGCTCCTGCTACCTCAGTGATCCTATGTTAGATAAAACTTCACCTCAACTTGCACTATGCTTATCTTGTGGTGGTTGCAGTCGTCAACCGATTTCCATTCGTATGTGTTGAAGATGTTAAGATCCTGCCACAACCTTTTCAACGAATTGAAATATTTGGTGACGGAATCATCTCCTTGACGAATCTCTCCCAACTTCAAAGTTAATTCGAAAACTTGAGATTGATTTCCTAGGTCAGAATACATCTGACTAACATTATCCCACAATTCTTGTGCAGTAGTATAGCACATGTAATTAGAGCTTATATCCTCCTCCATGGAATTGACCAACCATGTCATAACCATGGAGTTTTCAGCGTCCCAACTGTCGAACAGCGGATCATTAACAGCAGGAGCCTTCTTGTCACCAGTGATGTAACCGATCTTTCCTTGCCCACGGATATACATCCGGACAGATTGTGACCAGCGGAGAAAATTGTAAAAAATGCAATGTATAAAAAGAAATAAAGAAATGTATTTATTGATCGATTGTGTATATTACAAGATTGATGTTTTGTTGATATTACAAGGCTTCCTATTATATAGGAGAGGATTTGGGAGTAGGTGAGTGTGTGTGGTAGGTGTAGGAAAGTAGGTGAAGTAGGTGAGTGTGTGTGGTAGTGGAGGTGGTAGGTGGAGTGGGTTATGGTCAATTCTAACAAAAATTATCACCATTTAGGCGGATGGTGGTGATTTGGACAGAGTGAGAGTTTGATGTTTTCAACGGAATGGCAGCGGCAGGGGTTGAAGTGGTTTCGGACGTGACTTCCGACATGGCTATGACGGTTTTAGGGCTGCTGTGTTTTTTGTAGCTCTGATACCAACTTAGAAAATATGAGGAAGAAGGAATATATTTCTGTTATATTCAAAACTTCTTATTTTACAAGACCAAATGACACTCCTTATATAGGAGATATTACAAACATCATTATAACCCATTATATGCCACTTACATATTATATATTACCACTATCTACCACTATCATATTATATACATGCCACTATCTATCACCAACACCACTATCATATTCTATACATGCCACTATCTACCACCAACACCACTATCATATGCCACTATCTTATTATATGCATTAACACAAATTTCCAGCACTTAATATAAGTTGTAAAGCTGAAATGAGAGCTACTCGATCCTGGCTTAAGTTCAGCTTGTTACAGACTTGTTCAGGCTTGCTGTGTCGTGGTGCAGCTTGATGTTATTTCCAAATTCATTTATTATTTAGATGTTCTCAACTAACCCCACAATTGAAAAGTCTTGGTTGGAGAGCAAATTGCCTTGTAGTGTTACTTTTGTAATGATAACTAGGGAAGCGAGAAGGGTAGGCTTGCAAATATAGTTACAGTAATGCCCCTTGTGAACCTCTACTTTGCAAGATGATAGAAAATGCCTGGACTCCTGTCACAGGGTGGATCAGTGTAGTATAAAAATTGCATTTTCCGTTCAAATTCCATTATAAACATTATACACCCACTATGTTGTGCTTTATTACCAAATTATCTCTCTCTTTCAACCAGCACTTTTTCTCAAGCCAACTACCATGGTTATTTGTGCAAAGAAGCTTGCTTACATTGTTGAGTCGAGATTAGTCAAGATGAGCTCAATCACCTTCATCCTCGGCTTGTTTCATCTCGTTTACACCCCTAGTTACGTTTGGGTACTTTGCTTGGATGGCTTTCACCTCTAAAAACAACTTTAGGAACAAGTCTTAGATTTTTAAAGATCATTTTGCGTTAAGATCTGTGATCAAAGCTCGAGGATGACGGTCTTGGTACTATTAACTTTGGGAAATAAGGTTGACTTCAACCTTTATTGTCTATAAGTTGAAGCATCAAATAATTGTGAACACACTATAGGAAAAGAAATAATGAGGAAAATAGCTCAATAAAGTTCAAAGACCTTTGACTTTGTAGATGCATGTGAAGAGAGGAATTGTATGGTGGTGGTGGATCGCGGTAAAGGTCATCAACGTTCTCTTGTGCTTCTTGGTTTTGAGGTTCAATGTCTTCATAAAAAAATAAACGAGGTGTCTTAAGGGCAGGGTGGGGAGTGGTTCTTGGGTAAGTATGAGAAGGCGATAAAATGGTGAAGGGTCTGTGTCAACAAAATGAAGGGGAGGTTTTTTGAATTGGTTGTTTCTACCTTGAGAGGTTGCACAAAGGTATGTTTTATAGTGTTTGATTTTAGGAATGGGTGGGCTGGTTTGACTAGGATTCTACAAGAGTTCTATTTGGGTGGTGGCATGATGAAGGCAGCTCACCCGAAGTCATTTACGCACGCAGATTTTATTCTAAAATGGCCTTTGATGATCATTCGGGTTCTTCAATGAGATTAGTAGAGGGACTCTGATGTGGAAGTAGAACCTGCATGCTGTGATGATTTGGTGGCTTATTTGAGTCTTTGCTTGGTGGGGCTCATATGGGGTTTGGATTCACTAGTTTTGGAGGCCAAGTTCATTCAAGATTGTGTTGCTCAGATGTGGCAAGTTACAAGAAGGGTTGATTGGACATTGGTGGAGCTTACTACCTTTTTGTCTTCCATTCGAAACAAGAGGATCAAAGAATCATGGATAAGGAGTGGGATTTTGGGAATGTTTTGCTTTAGATCTCTATATTGTCTTATAGAAATGAGGTAAATAGGGTGGTGGGTCTCCCTGTTCATCTGTGGATGTGGTCTTTTTCGCTATCGGGGGAGTTTATGTGGTGACCAAGGGCATGCTAGGTCATTGGACAGGAAGTTGATGTGGACATGTGCATTGCATCAGGGTTAAGTCTGTAATATAAGGAGATTTGGCTTGCTTGGATAGGAGTTTCGCGGCAAAGCAGGAAGAGGCCGCTACATTTGAATTTCAAAAGGACTACAACTAGCAGTGGAGGTGATGATGTGGCTTCTTTACTCGTTGGAAAGGATGGATTTGGGCAAATCGAGGGAATATATTTGGTTTTATATATTTTTATTATCAATGTCCCAATTGCTTTATACTAAAGATACTATTATTTTTTGTGAGGCGAATGCAAGGCAGTCAGGCCACCTCCGTTGTGTGCTTCGTTGTTTTGAGGCATGATCTCAAGGTGAAACTAAGAAAATTGACTTTGATATGCCTAATGGATGTGGCTTTATCCTCCATTTTGGGTTTTCAAGTGGAATGCTTGCCTTCAACTTGTTTGGATTTATCTCTAGGCTCTTTTTTTAAGGCGAGGAGATGAGTACAAAAGGGTAGTGAAGTTGACATCGTTCATTATCTAGACAATGTGATTGATTCTCATTCAATTTATTTGCAATGATTTCTTCTATGCAGGATATTTTGTTTTCATTTCTTATGTTAGTTTAGTTCTTCTATTTCTCTGTTTTCTTACTGGGCCCAAAGCATAAACTCCTGTTTTGTTTTATTTTATTTTAAATGTTTTCATGATGCAGTCTGTGGTGGCATAATTACATAAAAGAATCCATTTGTTAAGTGATTTTTTCACATTTCATCAACATTATGTGCTAATTTGTTATATCTTCATGCATTTTAACAGAATGAGCTCAAGGCCAGGTGGGATGTAGGCAAGTCAATGCTAGAAGAATCAAAGAACGTAGCTGAGAATAAGTACAATGAAGTTAATGAACAGGTCATTGATTGATTTGCTTCATGAATATGCTTATGATGTCCAGTAGACTCTTTTATGCACATCACATATCACATATTTATGTACATAACTGTATGCATGTATATTTAGTCAATGCCATAAATCAATTAAAATAAGTGTGAAAACGTATCCAAACTCCTCTTCATTTTGCTAGAAGTTGTGCAAGAGCAATGCATGTCATTATAATTTGTAAGTCACATTCGTAACTCACATTGAGAGAGGAAGAAGATAACAAATAAATTAAGTGGGAAGTCAGAGAGAGAGAGAGAGAGGTCTTTGAGAACCCACTTTAATTCTATTTTTGTAATTCCCTTACCTCTCGCAAAGTTCATTGTCTCTCCCCATTAAAGTGGGTCATGAAAGGCAACCCTTTCCCTCGCCATTTGTCTCTTACATTGGTAACTGTCTTTCTTGCGTAGCGGGAGTGTACAATTTTGGGTTGTATGTCAAACATTTTTTTTTTCTTTTTTTTGTTTCTGTTGTTATTCTCTATGATAGGGTAGAAGGAGAGGGGGATGGGACTTACAGAACTTAAAATAGGGGGAACCTGCAAGAGGTTGTTTTCTCTTTATGTAGTAGTATGGATTTTGGGGTTCCGAATCAGATATGCAGTAAAAAATGATAGGGGAAAAAGAGACTGAAACTAATGAGCTGTGGTGAATAATAAATAAATCTTTCATTTTATGTTTTTAACTTTTCCTTGATTTGGTCAGGTTGTCAAATATTCTAATTCTTTGCTTGTATTTTGCAACATTTCTTGAACTATACCACTTTCTAAAAGACTTCTATTGTTAAAATTGTTACATTTTATATTATTTATGAACCCATTCTATGGGTTTAGTCTTCATGTGTTTGCATCAAATCATTGGTAATGTGTTTTGTTGGCAATTGTTATGGCCTTTCCCTCATCCGGACTCCAACTTTCCTCAGAACAAGATACTGCACAATAGGCTCGAGGCTTTGCACATTAAATTAGCTGAAAATGATCGTGATTCTGCTGGGATATCCTCTGGAAACTCTATTCAGGATCCACTACTTGACACTGGGTTACACAATGTGGTAAATTATCTCCGCCGGTCAAAGGAAATTGTATGTGTATCTCACCCTCTGAAGTTTTTTAATTTTTGATTTCAGTTTTGACTATTGTAATGTTCTAATTTAATTGCTACTTTTACAGGCAGAAACTGAGATATCTTTGCTAAAGCAGGAAAAGCTTCGATTGCAATCACAGGTAGCCAATTTTTACAAATGTTTCAAGTGTAATTTTTTGCATATAACTTGACTATTACTCTCTCTCTCTATCTCTCTCTCTCTCTCTCTCACATTTGCAATTGTCCTTATGTGGTTGGGGATTATCTGGCAGACACTTGTTTGCCATTTTAACAATTCATTAAAATTTGTGGGGAAAACAAAGTTTCTGGTAGGATTAAGATGTATGACTTGCTATACTTTGTGAGCTGCCTCTTTGGATGAAAGTTAGAATACAAATGTACAAGCTACGTTATGAGGAAATTATTCTTTACTTTTTTTTGTTTGTTCTTTTTCTATCTTTATGAAAGTGATTTTTCCAGTGTGTTATCAGAAATTGTTCAATGTCTCACATAATGTCAATTTCTGTTGTGATGCTAATTTCTCGATGCTAATTTCTCAATGCTAATTTCTCAATTGGTTTTTCTGCATTTCCCAGCATCCCATTCATAACACTTGTGGATTGTGATTTATTAATTGGAACCTACACAGTTGCAACTTTCTTGTAAAATGTCACTTGTTAGACTTTAGGTTTTGGTCATCATTCATTTCACAAACTTCATTTTTTTTTTTGTAATGCTAGTATAATGTGCACTGCTGTATTTCAGATTTGAGGTTATTTAGATTTGATGATTTTCAAAGAATGATTTGGGGCATGCTTTCAAATATGGAAGTCTTGTTGTTTTATAGATGTCTTTAGTGGGGGGGCAACTGCAATGCATGTGGGCTGTGAGATGTTTTTAACATTTAGTTAAAGTGCACTTCCTATGCAGTATCTCTTTTATATTTTTTAAAGTTCTGCCAAGTCACAGGTTCCCATACCAAAACTGATTTGAGTTCTCTCTCTCTCTCTCTCTCTCTCAAATTTTAAATTTTGTTTGCAGTCTTCCATATCAGAGACGGTGTTTGCTTTATAATGGAGTAGAATAACCTTTTAGAAATTCCATTTACTTGCTAAGTATAGGGAAATTGGGGAGTTGATGGGTTGAAATATATTGATTTGAGTTTTTAATGAAATTTGAAGTTTTCTAAGGTCCTATTCGTACACTAAATTTTTAGAAATTCCATGTATAGATATAGGGAAATTGGAAAGTTGATGTTTGAAATATATTAATTGGAGTTATAAAATAAATTAGGTAAATTACGCTGACACCCCTGAGGTTTCTATTTAATACAGATCCTTTTTCACATCTGAAAAATTACACTTACCTCCTGTTACATTAAAATAACATATTTGTTCCTTAATCTTTATACACATAAAATAATAAAATAATGCAGATATTTTGTTCATGTCATTTCAAGGGGAATAACAATCATCTTCTTTGGTTTAACTCACAAAAATAGAGTTGTTTTTATTTTTATTGATTTTTTTTAATATTTTAAGAATTGTTTTTTTAAAATTTTTTAGATACACCTAATCTAAATGTACTTAAGAAGTATAATATTTTGTGATTTTTTTTTTCAATTCACCAAATACAAAAAAATATAAAAATATAAAAATCCAATACATTATCTTATTTTATTGTATTCAATGGATTTTTTAAAAGTTTTTTTTTACAAATTTTGTACTTTTTAAATATATCTAGATTAAATTGATCTAATCTAGAAATAATGGTGGAAAAAAAAATGAAAAATTATATTCATATATAAGAATTTATACAAAAAATATCATAAAAATTGTTGTGATAGTGATATTCTTGTAAATAAAAATCATATTTGTGGGTGTTTTGTTTTAAAGTCAAAGGTCACAAGTAAACTATATCATTGTGTTTGAAAATTCTCCATGAAATTTATGTTTGTGTATCATCATTCAATAAGAATATGTTCAGGTAAAATTTAATGATGGAAAGTTGTAGCATGTAGTCATGATGATAGGAAGAAGAAATGGTAGAAAAAAAGGGCAAGATAGTCATTTAGAAAATTTTAGGGCATGACATTAGCAAAGCAGGAGCAATGTGTAATGAGATTGCAAACTTTAGGGAGGGGAATGTAATTTTTCAAATGTGAGGAGGGATTTGTATTAAACAGAAACCTCAGGGGGTGTCAGTGTAATTTACCCAAATTTATTATTAGTTTTCCAAGGTCCTATGTGTAAACTAAATTGTTTGGCCCTATGTGATATTGTTTTTAAAATATTGGTTTTTGTTTTTCATGTTTTTTGGAACAACAATAATCAGAGGTTCTAAAATACTTCCCGTTTTCATTTTTTGTACAAAAATAATTTTTTAGAATTCAAAAAACTACTTATAAGTGTTTTCTAAAAATAGGTTTTCGGAAAACGAAAACGATACCAAATATGCCCTAAGATTTTCAAAGGCCCTATTTATGGGTGTTGTTGCCTACGTTACATGGACTCTCTGTTTTGTGAGAGGTACCCGTGTTGACACGACATGACATGACATGGGTACGGGTGCAGAATACGGCCGGGATACGGTTAGATACAAACGGATACGGTTGAAACTTAGAGATGGAGAGAGAGAGAGGGGGTTGAAACTCACCTTTGCGAAGCAAGTCGAGTCGCAAAGCAAGATCGAAACGTGAACCCTAGTCGTGAGCTCGACTGAATTGAAGGAGATCATCGCGAAGTCGATTCCACTCAGAAAATGACCCTAGGGCTTCGATTCCCCTGTGGTCTCTCTCTCTCTCTCTCTCTTCTCTCTGTTCTCTTTCTTGATCTCAGTTTGTTTGCATTCTTCTCTCTCTCTCTCTCTCTTCTTTTCGTCTTCTCTTCTCTCTGTTCTCTTTCTCTTCTTTTAAATTAGATTTATATTATATAATATAAATTAGATTTATATTATATAATATAAATTATATTAATATAATAATATATAATATTATTCACTCAAAAAAATATTGTTTAATATAATATACCATAAATAATATAATTTATTTTATGTCTAAAATAATTTTAACAAATCTGTTATTCCTTGGCTTTTTTTAACTCATCTTCATATAATAAATATATTTAAAAAATAACTATTTAACGTATTCCCCTATTCATATCCAAATTTGAATCCATATGTATGTATTTTCAATTTTTAATTTTTAAGTGTCTAACCCCTAAATACTCACCCGCACCCGATACCCGTACCCGAGTCCGTGTAACATAGGCTGTTGTGGGTTTTAGGTGGCATTTGGCTATTAGAGACGCAGTAAAATTGTGGAAATCCGTACTTAGCTTATACCTACACAAGGATATCTTTTGGCCATTTTCATTTCTGTAATGATGCTTTTTAACTTTTACCCCTATTTTGCTTTCAGTCAATTATATTCAACTTGTTCCCCTCTCACTCAATCACTTAGACCAAGTGATGTCTGGCTCACTCGGCATCTGGTTCCCTTTGGTGCTAGCAATCTTTCCTTGTGCACCTACTTATGTAGGACTCCATATCTGTTTCTATGTTTTAGTTTATTCTCGTTTTTTTGTTTTTATATTCTCTCTTGGCCTTAGGTTTTTTTAACCTGTAGATCATGTTGCTCTTTATTAAATAGTTAACTGATTTTACATATATACTAAAAAATATCGAGTATATAGCGTCTTTGTAAATGATTTGGTAAAAGGAAACATTCTTTAATATTTACACCACTCAAATGAATTCACAAACACACAAACAAATATGTGAAAAATGGCGAATATGCATGGATTCATGCGCATGCATATTGGAGTATTTATGTTCATATTGTCTACTAGTTGTTAGATCTTTGTGTAAACCTACCTTTAATAGATTTGTAATTATTTACCAATAAGAGTAAACGTACCTGTTCAACATATTTAATCAGTTAACAGCATTATTGTTAATCATTTTTGTGAGCTAACGAAATTCTTCTAGCTCTCCATTTAATTGGAAAACTATTCTAGAAAAACCACTTTTGCATATGCTACAGATACCCCAAATTAGTTCTAAATTTTGTTGCAACTTTTAATCTTGCTGTACTTGGCTGAAATGGAGTTGATTTGGTTTTTTTATATTCTGTTATCTTTAAGCAAATGAAATACTTGATATAACATTTGCGCTAAGATAAGTTTAAAGAGTAGACCGGGTCAATTTTATATGACTGGCCCAAGGTAGTTGTGAACTTTGATAATATATTACTTCTGCACATCATTTATGAGCCACTATGAGTATTGAGGCTTAAAATTTTCATTTTTAATGTAATATATTTGTTAGTAGATGCTCTCCACATCACTAGATTTATTTGGTCTGCTTATTATGGATATTGTCTTTGTGTAATTGATAAAATTTCTTATACATTGGATAGGCCTGCATGGCAAATTAATGTTTGGAATTATGCTGCAAATTAAAGAATTAGGAAAAAGTGATGTCATATTTGTTAGTAGATGTTTGAGATGCTCTATTATCTTTGCATTTGGTTATGGATGAACTTCTGCTTGTGGTGGCAAAAATAGAGTGCTCTGAACTGAACTCTTTGTATATTCAAAGCTCTTTTGGTTTCTTTGTAGCTTGAGAGTGCTCTAAAGGCATCAGAGACTACGCAAGCATCACTTCATGCTGAGCGAGCAACTTCAAGAGCGATGTTGTTCACAGAGGAAGAATTTAAATCTCTACAACTTCAGGTTAATTTTACTACTGATCAATGTATTAGCTTTAAACATATTTTCTGTTTGCTGTTATTCTTTTAGCATAATTTTTTTCTTTGTATTAATGGGTGGACCTCGAAGTTTTGCCCCTTCCAGAGACTCTAGCTCTGCTGTGACAATACCTTGTTATTTTCAAATGAAGGATGCGAACTAAATATATTTAATTGTGGATGACTTGATGTTCTTATAAGTCAGTAACACAAGGAAGCAAGTATTTGGAATCTAGATGCACTGTTTGTAAGAGTAAACTGTGTGGTGCTGGGACTTGTATGATTGGCGGCCCAAACAAAAACCTGTGGTGCTGTCATTTTCATGAAATATTAGGGTCATTGACATAAGACGGTTCCCATACTAAAATTTTGGTTCTAGGTTTTTGTGCTTGTCCAAAAGCATTTCAGCCTCAATAGACTGGGATTTTTGTATCGAAGTTTATGTCACTGTAATTAATTGAACGTGTCTTACCAAGGCAATGGTGTTCTATGAAGCACGGACACTTCTCTGGAGGTCGCGTATAGGTGTCCGACATGTGTCTGACACAGACACAATCTGGACACGTGTTGGACACGCTGGGACACTTTGGACATGCAAGGGACACGTTGAGGATACGCTTGGGACACACTGAGTACTATTTTTTTCAAAAAAAATTATATTTTTTTAATTTTTTTACTAAAATAGCATACCTAAGGTTGATAAATTTGGTAAAATTAAATATTTGACATAAAATATATATTAAATATTTAAAAATATACATATAATAAAAATATATGTTTTGAATGTGGCCCCAATGTGTCGTGTCCTGCATTTTTTGAAAATTTACGTGCTCGCGTGTCCATGTCGTGTCTGTGTCTGTGCTTCTTAGGTGTTCTCAATATGTGGGGGGAAGGTGGCGAGGGAAGTGGCTGGCTTAGGGTTCTTAGGTGTTCTCAATATGTGGGGGGAAGGTGGCGAGGGAAGTGGCTGGCTTAGGGTTAGGGTTTTCACATAGGTTGGAGGAGGAAGATGAAGACAAGGGCAATATAATCTTTTTGCATTAGAATTTGACTCCAACTTAACTTTTTTCTTGCCAACTCTCAAACTTGGCACATGCGACACAATTCCATCAATTTGGAAGGAAAATGTGACGGTTGCAGATTACTTGAAAACCACATGTGGGGGTTCTTTGGCCATACCTCAAGTAGGAAAGTAGATTTTGCCCCCAAGTTTTTTTTCATGGAGTCTACATACGTTTGTGAACTTCTGTTGGTTTCTTATTGAAATCATTTCAATTTCTTTGCATTTCTTGAGCCTTGTGCAAACTGCCTAACTTACAGTTTACAGGCTGGTCTTTAACCTAATTCGGTGGATGGACTCATTAAAATGACAACTGTAATATTACCTAAATCTCATACAATTATTAACTACTTTCCGGCATACTGAAAAAAGTTTATCAGCAGTGTATATGTAGGGCAAGGTTCATTTCTTCTCATTGTCAACAGGTCCTCATAGGTTGACTCCTTTTGGGTGATACATTGCTGGTCTAAAGATTCTGCACTGTTACTCATCAAGCGCAATGACAAATCTACTGATATGACTAAACTTTGGCATCCATTGCTAATTACCAATTAATTAGCAATTTATCTGTGATTAATTTTCTAATAATCTGCCAAAAGTGGGTTTATCATTTTGCATGGAAATTTCAGTTGTATCTCCAAATTCCAAATGCAAGGTAGAAAAAAGGCATGTTCTATCATAATTGAGTTTGACTTGTCCTAGAATCTTCCTAATTGCATACAATTTGTGTTAACTTAGAAGTCCCACGAGTTCTAAAGTAATATTTCAAGCTGGTTTTTATTTCCTGTAGTGTTTAAAAATCATACCAGTATAGTTTTGATGTCAGAAGCTGATACAGTGGCATGAAACCAGTCTTCCTTGTTCTACCATTGATGCACTACTGGTCTATGTCACTAACTTCCCTCTCCTTTTGTATCATGCTTTTCATTCTTCTATGATATTGGAAAAGTATCAACGGCTTACATTTTAAAAAATACTTGGATTGGTTAGACTTTTTATGCATAAAGTGCCTCAATCCAGTTATTGTAAGTACATAAATATTTCTCTACATTTTGGTGGCTGGTGAGTGGAATTGGTTTCAAGATGAAATGCTGCAACTCCAACATAGTAAAATTGGAAGTTAAATGTTTTTGGGTATTAGACTTGCTGGACACTATTTTGAGACATCCTGAAAGGGAATGACAGACTATTGGGATTAACAGATCAGTTTCTAGATATTTCTTGTTAGCATAGAAAATGTTATCACTTAATCCCAATATATGTGTTCATACTGTAATATTTGAATTTTTTTTTTTTTTTTTTTTGATACCCTTGCAGGTTAGAGAAGTGAACTTGCTTCGTGAAAGCAACATGCAACTCAGAGAGGAAAACAAGTATAATTTTGAGGAATGCCAGGTTTGGAGTGATTATTCATCATTTTCATGGTTTTATGGTTGTGGTTTTTGGTTTGTTGGTGATGATAATGGTGCCAGTTAGTAACCAGAAAAATTTGAACTTGCTCGTAGAAATTACGTGAAGTTGCCCATAAAGCAAGGATGGAAACCGAGCAACTGGAGACTTCACTGAGAGAGTGTCAAACTGAGGTGGAAGCTTGGAAGAAAGAAATTGAAATGCAGAAAATAGAGAAAGAGCATTTGGAAAAGAGGGTTGATGAGGTGTTGCTTGTTTAATCTTTTTTCTATATTGTTTTCTCTCTTTTTTATCATTCTAATTTCTAAAATCATTTGAAGTTGCTTGTGAGCTGCAAGAATATTGATGTGGAAGATTATGGACGCATGAGAGAAGATATTAAACGGATGCAGGTAACATATTTTTATTTTCTCTGTTTACTTGTCAAAAAAAAACAAAAAAAGTTACTGTATTCTTGGAAATTCAGATACAATGTTGATGGTTTATATCTTACCATTCTTTACAGGAAAAACAAAATTATATCTTTTTAGTGTCATGGAAACCATTGTATGTTCATCGGCTGCCAGTTTATTCACTTACTGGATATGGTATGCCTTACATTGTAGAACGGAAGACTAAAGTTACTGCCACTAATATCATGTTTAGTGTTACTCAGGGTTTAAAAGAAGACCTGGCTGTCATTAGCATATACTCCCTCTGCCTACTTATTGTCCCCACTTTCAAGACACTGTGCTGTAGGAATGCACATAATGATGTGGGATTTCAGTTTTGTCCCAAGTGATTTCTTATTATTTTTTAGTCAGGCATTCATTAATTTACGGCAAAAGGGTATGGTTGGTAATGAAGTAGTAAATACTCAATTGACTTTTCAACAAGGTAGTATATTTAGGGTCTTTGTAATTTAGGGACAAAAAGATTAGGGTTGAAGTATATATTAAACATGCCTAGCTGGTGTAATCATCTTACCATTCCTTGGCACTGGAGAGGCGTTTTTCTGTCTGGAACTGCAAAGCAGCCTCTAAAATTTTGGTCACCCTTGTTCTAGTGACCATTGTGTTAATATGGGATTCATTCTGTTGTGCTTATATAAGATAGCTTTTTGGGAAAAGCTTCTTTAAATCGATTTAGTGTGCTCTGGCATTTGGTTATTGAATTCATATTTTATTAAATTATTTTCTTTATGCAGACAAATCTGAGTGAGAAGGTTGCGCAGCTGGAGGAAAATAAGAAACTTCTTTCCGAAAAACAGGTTGTAATATCAGAATTGGAGCAGGACATTGCAAAGAGCAGAATCGAACTAAATGAGAGGGAGGGAAGGATTAACGAAAGTTTGCAAGTTGAGGTACTTGGGCTCAATTGTTTGTGCAGTAGTCAAGTTATTGTGGCTTTCATATAGTTATAATTCTGGCGACCTGTAAAAATCAAATGTCTCTTCATTGTCATTGTCTTTCAGGTTTCTCTGAAATATGAGGTCGAGAGGCAAAAGAAGTTGGTAGCTCAATTAAAGGTGGTTATGATACATTCATTATTCATTTGAATTCAAAATTTTTATTTCATACTTCAAATATATTCTTCTGATAGTATTTGGTTTTTTATTTTTATTTTTAAATTGTTTATTAAATTTTTCTTCATTCTGCAGAAGAAGCTGGAAAACTTGTCGAAGGAAAAGGAGGAGCTGAGCAAGGAGAACCAAGTTCTTTCCAAACAGTTAGAGGACTATAAGCAAGGTAATCATTTTCTTTTCAGCTGTAAATGCATGGCATTATCTTGCTATCAAATTCTTTGTTTCATTCTTTAGTTACCAATTAGCAGGGAGGAGGGGCGTAGGGGATGCGTTAGCTGAACATGCAATGAAGGAAAAAGAGAAGGAGAAAGACACAAGAATACAGGTTTGTGTGACAAGAATTGTTAGAGATTTCTTTCTTCCTAAGTTTTTTGTTTTGGAAAACTCTATCCATACATAAAATTTATACAATAAATACCACATGAATGATATGGCAGTGGCAATTTTGTAAATATAAGTCATCTTTATGGGTATTTTGTTTTAAATTGAAGGTCATCATTAAGCCACATCATTGTGTATGAAAATTCTGTATGAATTTTCTGTTTATATATCATCACTCTTCTATTTTTTTTTTATTTTAATTTTTATCCCCCGATGTCCCCCTTTTTCCTTTGTGCTCACTTCTTGCATTACTTGTGCGTACGAAGATTCTAGAGAAAACTGTAGAGAGGCAGAGAGAGGAGTTGAAGAAGGAGAAGGATGACCATAAGACAGAGAAAGCAAAGCGTCTGAAGACAGAGAGGACAATAATGGATTCTATAAAGTCAGTCAATCAGGTGCCTGTCCCTGTCCTTGTCCTTGTCTTCGATCAAGTTCACATTTTAGCCTAAAAGTAAAAAAGTCACTAAAAAAGCCACCAACAAATACCAAAAAGTCAGATTCCTTTCCATTCACTCTACTTTTTGCACAGCTTTTCGTAAAAAACCAAAAAGTCATTTCAATCATATTAGTTTTTTTCATCTCATATTTTAGCCAAAAAATAAAAAAGTCACTAAAAAAAATGTTCCCAAACGACCCTAAGTTTCACTTGAGCTACTGATTTGATACTGGAAAATAAGATGTTAGTTGTCTTCTTTTATTATTATTATTATTTTAATTTGCAAATTTTGCTATTTATGCAATTTTACACGGAGACAGTGTAATGCTTTGCATTCAATTCTTGAAGTTGAGATTGTGCTTGCTCTGCTTTCTGGCAAAACATTCTTTTCTCGAATATATAACATTTATAGGGATATGTATTTCTTATTATACCTTACGTCAATTTAGGAAAGAAACAAGCTGGTAGATGGGCTTGAGAAGCATAAGCAGGCCCTAAAGAGGTTGTCAGAGGAATTTGAGAAGCTTAAGCATGCCAAAACCAGTCTTCCAGAGGTAATGCTGTTATTCTACTGCATATCAATTGCATGCCTTTCTGTGAATAATGTGGAATTTTGACTAGTAGAGTGGTCTGTCTTCTTACACTAGTTGCTGTTTGATTTTTTCATTTTTGACTAGTGCTTTTTGATTCTTTTCTTTTCATACACATCTCTTGTATTAGCACCTTTGTGTCTGCAGTTTCTGATGCTGCTCTTTTTCTCCGATTATGTTTAATTTTTGTTTTTTAACAACCCCCCAACTGATTCCACTTGTAAAGTAGGGCATTGCAATTCCATTCATATCTCCTTTGTTCCTGAAATTGCTTAGAATGGCTTCTCATAACGTAAAAAGATGGATGTTAACATTATTTGCTTTGCTTAGTCTTTTAATGTATTCGAAGCACAATCCTCTCTAAGAAGCAGCTTTGATGCCTAGACAACCAGATTGCCATTTTGTTACCTTCTTGTTCTTTGTAAATATTCTTTTTGATAACTGCATCTTGATTTTGACACTGGCTTTAATTATTTTCAGGGTACAACAGTGGTTCAGATTCTTTCTGGGACTCTCTTGGATGACCTTTCTGCTGCCTATTTTCTGGCCGTGGAAAATTTTGAACGTGTTGCTCATTTAGTTTCCAGTGAACTTGGAGCTCCTCTGGCAGACATTTCTCCAGTAGTGGATGCTTCATCTTCAGGACTTGCTATAGGTCTCTTTACTATTTTAATCTTTTAGGATGCCATGTAGATGATTGGATCCTTACTTTTCTCCTTCCCTTTTTTATTTTTCCCAGAAATGTTAATTCGAGTACGTTTATGCCTCCGCAGGTCAGTCAGTTCCTTCCCAGGTGCCAAGCATCTTACCTGCAATTGGCTCCACAACAAGTTTGCCATCAGCTAAACCGACAGAAGAAAGAGAGAAGAGATTTACTTTACCAAAATCGAATGTTGAAGCCCGTAAAACGGGAAGGAAGTTAGTTCGACCTCGTATTATAAAGCCTGAAGAGCCTCAGGGAGATACAGAGATGCCAGAAATTGAGGGATCCAACAATGATGGAAAGTCTGTGTCCTCTCATAACTTAGAAACTCAAGGAAGCCTAACGCTACTGACCCATACAACTGTTCGCAAACGCCTTGCTTCTTCAACCTCTCCTGAGTTACAAGAAGAGTCACTTGTTCAATGTGGCACTAGCTCTGATGTGGAAGCACCTGTGCTGAAGAAATCCAAAGGCTCAGATTTTCCACAAGACGGTGCTGAAGGACAAACTGCTGCTGTTTTGGAAAATTTGGAAACTCTACCTGCTGTGGAAGAACCTTCAGATGCTATTGGTGATTTGCCCCAAGGTTCCAATGAGGAAGCCATTGATGCTGAGAAGGATGATGTAGAGACTAGTGGGGAGCAGGATGAGGAGCCAAAGGTGGGTGGTGATAATAATCAAGTTGAGTTGCAGAGCGAGAGCAATGATGTTTTGGAGGAGATACCGTATAAGCAAAATGAATCAGAGGGGGTCTTTGATGAAGGGTCGAAGGTTCTTGCTGAGCAGGATTTCCAGCAGTCAGCGGTGGAGTCTGGAAGTGAGCAGGAAGAGGGAGAGTTGGTCCCCGATGTCGCTGATGTTGAAAGTGGTGGCAATATGTCTGGGATGGTGGTGGAGAGCCAAGAAATTGGGGAAAATCAGCCTGAGGCTGCAGCGCTAGCTCCTCCTCCTGTGAGTTCACCTGTGGGTGATGAGGAAACTCTAGTTGCTGCTGCTGCTACTGCTGCTGCTACAGTCGATTTTGGAGAAACTAGTTCTCCCCAAGTTCTGAATGATGAAGGGGATACAGCAGAAGCGAATGCTGAGGGTGCAGACAATTTGAATGATGGTAACAACCACCAGGAGGTAGCAATGGAAGCAGATCAGAACCCTGAAGCTGCTGCCGCCTTAGAAACTACTACTGGGGTGAGAACTAAAACAGGTACTGTAGAAATTGGTATGTCAAAACAAGGTAGGCCAAGTGTCTCAGCAGAAACGCAAGAAGTAAAACAGGTATCCCCTGTAGGACAGAGCTCAAGCTCAACTACTATTAATCTGCAAGAAAGGGCAAAGCAAAGGTCACTATTAAGGCAGGCAGGAGTGATTTCTTCCTCAGTGGGTAGAGGTCGTGGAAGAGCAGCTCGTGGCCGTGGTGCTCGTGGTGGACGTGGACAGTCCTCTGGTGGACAGGGAGGCTAAGGGTTTTTTTTTTTTGGGGAAGTTGGTGCACATCATTAGTTAGTTGAATGAATTTATACCTGTATGTGTTTCTGTGCTCTTGGCGGTGCAATCCATTGTTACATTTTCTTCTTGTACAGAATGACCTTAAGCAGCTACCTGGGGAATTTCTGACTCTGTTGATGTTATTGCAGTAGATGCACTAAAAGGTGGACTTTTATGTTATATACATTTGTTTTTTCAAAATTCTTATGCAGATTTTGTGGGTGAACACTTCAATTGCCACTGTTATTTTGATGAGAACGTCAAGAAACTAAAAATTAATTGAAAATAGGAGGGTGATGACGTGTGTCAGAAAGATCTTCAGGGTTATATTTTCGGGAGTAATGCTAGAGATACAAAAAATTTTACCAAATGAATGACCAAACCTCTCATATCCATGTGAGAGGTTTGGTCATTCATTTGGTAGAAAATTTGGGACCTATAGCATTTTTCTATTTTCGCTGTTCGCCATTGCCTTGCTATGCTGATGGTAATAGGCATGCAGCAATAGGTGCTTCCTTCCCAATAAGTACTGGGCTGGGCGTGAAAATTGGATCGCCTCCTCTGCAGCACTATTCAATCCACTCATTGTCTTGCACTCAGTTGCTGGTCATCTGGCTGGTAATCCGGCAAATATGGTGATAGCCAAGGTTAATAAAGTGACAATTGCGGTAGACAAGAGTTATACCGGTTGTTTGGGCGATTGATAGACACGCACAAAACGTGGCTTTTCCCTCACCTTTGGATCCCTGGTTGTCACATGGCTTCATCTGCTGGAGAGTGCAAGGCGTGGCTGGACAGGAGACGGATCTGTGAAAATCAAGTACAGGAAAAACTGGCAATTTTTATTTATTTATTTATTTTCGAAGAAGGTGAAGTACACGCTCTGTGCTGGAGGTTTTGCATAGTTACAGGAACTTTTTTTTATAATTTTTGAAATTACATTGACCTCTTTTACTTTTTCTAACATTATCATAATTTCCCATTCCATTAACATGGCCCAAAATCTTGTGAGGTGAGTGGAATTTTCCCTAATATAATTTTGCAAGTATAAATTATCATTTTGTTTCTAAAACTTTTCCAAAATATATGTGATGTCTTTCAATTCTTATATAAAGTTCATAAACTTTTATACAAGGTCAATCATTAATGAAGGTGGGAAAAAATATCCACATTGTTTTTTTTTTTTTTTCCAATTAATTGGAATTTTTTTTCTTTTGAGAACGAATATCCATATTGTTTGAATTAATTTTAAGATTTGAATTGAGAAAAAAAAAATAGTTTAAATGAAAGAAACAAAGATAAACATAGGGAACTAACTATTTCAACTAAAGTTCAGTTTTAATAATAAATGACAAATTGTCTGAATAGTTTATTATTCTCAAATAATTTATTGACTCTTATTCCATGTTAACTATTTTAATTGTTGTAATAGGATTATGCTCCTTTTTTTTTTTTTTTTTTTTTTTTTTTTTGGGTAAAAATTTTTTTTTTTTAAATTGGGTAAATTTTTTTGGGCTTTTTTTTTTTTTTTTTTTTTTTTATCACACATCAATGATAGATTTAAGGACTCAAATAGAAAAACTAAATTTGAGAAAAACATTGGATTGTGAACAGATAAAATGATAATTTACCTATATGTATAAATAAGCAAGTTAAAAAAGAAAAAAGAAAAAAGAAAAAAGCAACACATGATATTTATAATGTAGCATTTGGTAATATTTACATGTTCAAGTTTTTCTATGAATATGAAATGTTTTTATATTTAATTTTGCTATTAAAAAAAACTATTTTTGATGTACATATATATTTCAAAACAAATATATGTGTGTGTTTAGTGAGTTGCGATGGTGTTGGATGATGGGGCTAGCAGTGATGGAAGAGAAAAATGAAGGAGAAAATAGAGGGAAGAGAAACAAAACAAATATATGGCATTGTTAATTGTAGCGGTAACCATGGAGGAAATCAACGAGAGAAGAAAAAGAAACAAGGAAAGAAAATGAAAAACATAAATTGGAAAGAGGAATGGGTAATGGAAACTGATTTGAGAGAGAAAAAGAGTTTGATGCATCGCAAAAATGTGAAGATAAAACATGTAGCAACAAGAGTATGAAAACTCTTCTATAAATCTGTTAAATTCAAAAACTATCAAAATTATAAGAAAAATAAGAGAATTCTTTCAACGAAACTATAAGTTAGTCATCAAAAATTAAGTAGTCATAAGACTTACAATCATTTTTTATGATATGACCTTAAACCAGTTAGGAAACAACCAAATAAGGTAGTTCCTTAATTAACACAGAACAATTAAATAAAATAAGAAAATTACCAAAAAGAAAAGAAAGAAAAATAAATGTTCATGTAGACTGGATAAATCAAAACTTTTTTTGAAAAAGGCAAAATTATGAAACTGAAGGCCTAAACATATGGAATTCACCTAAAATTTACCTAGGTCTATAATAAAGCTACAAGTTATGATGTCCACCACGTTTCACATGTCTCCATCAAATTTCTCGCAATTATGAGTATGTGCACTGTACGGGGGTGATTTCCGCACTATGAAGAAGGGTTGAATTTCGTGGATGAACAGCAGGCTTTGGAAATTGAAGATCTGCACAGAATAACAAACGGTGAGGCTGCCCGACCGGGGTTTGGTCGGAAACCCTTCCGATGGTAAAGTCAGGGACTCAGGGAGAGAAAAAAGAGAGGAGAGAATATAAAGAGTGTATATGTGTTCAGTGTGTGGATTTCGGATTCCTTGAGAGTGAATAGTGTTCACCTTTTATAGGAGAAGGTTGTTTGTCGTTCAAGTCCTTCTCTCTCCGCTATCTGTCCAATGTGTCTTATTCGTGGTCGTCTCCTATTGGAGGAGGACGACCACTCAGCCTGACACTCGGGTGCAGGTTTGTTTTGTTTGTCTCATTAGCGGACATCTCTCATTGGAGGAGGACGACCCCTCCGCCTGCCATTCAGATGCAGGTCTGTTATATATGCACCTTGTCCCTCTGCACCTCCATGTCTCCACGTTCTGTTCATACAGAGGAAGAGAAGCAGAGTTGTTTGTCTCTTGTGGGCCCAAGAAAGATCTTCAGTGAATTAGTCTTCTTCAAGTAAGAAAGATCTCTAGTGAATTGGCCTTCTCTAAGTTGGTCTGCTCTAGAACGGTTGTCCAACCAGGAGGTCCAGCATGTTGCTCAACCCACTTCGGAGTGGTTCTGTCCATCCAGAAGGTCCACCATGTTGCTCGGCCCACTTTGGAGTGACGCTCGTACATTGGGCCAAACTCCTATGATTGTCTTGCTTCGGAGCAAGTGTTGGCCATAGGGCTGAGGTCCGACCTAGCTCCACTTGGAGTGAGCATTACAATGGACCTAGCACCAAGGCTTGATTAATTTTTACCCACTTCATGCACATCACTTTGTCTTTATTAATGCTTTTTATCTTGTTTATTCATGTACTTATTCATATGTTCTGAGAATTATATGGCTAAACACTCTGTGTATCAGAGAGAGCAAAAGAAATAGAAATTGTTTTTTATTTTTTTTTTTAATTTTTAGAGGGATAGTGTGAGTTTTGCTGGAATTGAGAAGTAGAAGAAGAAAAAAAATAAGGGAAATGTGAAATAAAAGCTATGAAAAGAAAGATGAAAATGAGAGGGAAAATGGAAGAGGGAGACGGAGAAACAATAGAGAGAGGGTCAATTTATTGAAGGAAGAAAATGATATGGGTCATGATTCAATGTAATTGTGCCCATAGGATTATAGTAGTTGAGGGACGTCTTTGTAATTATGTAAAACCTCAAGGGAGGTCATTGCTAAAAAGAGATGATGAAGGGCAATTTTGACATTTTAATACGTTCTGTTAGGTATTCTACGGAATGGATGATAAAAGTGAGAATAATGACAATAGTTTTAAAAGTAAAGAAAGTCATGTAATATTGAAAATATAGGGAAGATCTCTAAAGTTATATAAATCTCTAAAGAGTTAGTGTAATTTACAAAAACAAGAAGGTCCATATAATTACTAACACCATTTTTTTTTGGGACAAATTATACTGTTGGTCCTTATACTTTAGTCCTTATATCATTTTGATTCCTATAATTTCAATTGAATTTTGACCTTGAATTTTTCGATTTTGTCAAATTGGTCCAATTCCTTCCAATTGTTAGCATTTTTTAATGACAAATGTGCATGTGAGCGGCATGTTTCATGCAATGAAAATTTTGCGCCAAAAACCTTAACGACGTTATTAATTGGACTAATTTGATACAAAATCTAAAATTAGTAGTCAAAATTAATCCAATTAAAATTATAAGAATTAAAATACTATACATAAACAGAATTTATAATTGAGTTTCTTATAGCTAGCTACAAAAGTAATGGATCATATATATTTATTAACGAAACCCCATTGCTTTAGTAATAGGACATATAATAAGAAATCTGCTTATATAGAATTTCAAATAAAAAGACTCATACCACTTAAATTATGTATATATTATAATATTAATTTTTTTATTTTTTTATTTATTTAAATTGTATATGCATTTAAAATAATGCCAACCTTTGATTTAAAGTGATGTTTTGAAAAGTTAGTAAAAAATTGATTTTTTAATTTTTTTTAGATTTTTTAAACTTTTTTATGTAAAAAATAAAGGAGTAATAAGACTTGAAAAAAAGTAAAAAAAGTAAAAAACCTGACTTTTTATCAGCTTGTCAAAACACCCAAAAATAAATAAACAAATAAATAAATAAAATAAAAACTCCGTCCAACAACTAACTCAAGACATGTTGGCAAGTCAGGGTAAATATAAGAAAGTGCATGCCACGTATTCTCCACAAGGAACCACATAATCGTGTCTGTAGTGCTGCTGCTGTCATGTGTATATAAAGAAGGAAAGGCAGAAGAAGTTTCAAAAACAAAACAGGAACACATAAATAATTTATCTTTTGTTTTGTGAGCCTAACGCTTTGGGTGTGTGTGTGTGTGTGTGTGTGTGTGTGTGTGTGGACTACTAATTGAAGTTATATATATATATATATATATATTTGAAGGAAGAAAAAGCAGAAGAGAGAAAAAGGGATGAAGTGGAGGTGGTGCTTTTCAATCGTCTTAGTCCTCCTTGTTCATCACATGGAGATGGAGTTGGCCATGGCCCTCTCAGCCAAAGATGTAACACCACCACTTGTTCCCACGACCATGAAGAAAACCATTTCTCCCAAGTGGCGGGTTCCGGTGGCACGGCCAAGGCCAAAAATCATTCCTCCTACTCCTACGGAATTAGCTTACCTGTCACCCACTCACTATCTCAAATCATGCCCCAATCTTGAAGCCATCATCCAACAGAAAGTCAATGCTTGGGTTAAGAGGGATTACACCATGGCTGCAAGCATCATCCGCCTGCACTTTCACGACTGCGCTGTTAGGGTGGGTCTAAATCAATCAATCAGTCAATCAATCGATCTGATTCCCTTTGATTCTTGATTCTAGATTATTGATTTATTTAATCGGAAAACTATCTATCTAATAAAACATATATGTATGTATGTAAATACTTACGTGGTTTAAATTAAATTTGCAGGGATGCGATGCTTCAATATTGCTAAACCACGCAGGGAGCGAGAGGAGAGCTTTGGCAAGCAAGACGCTGAGAGGGTTCGAATTGATAGATGAGATAAAGGCGGAGGTGGAGACAAGTTGTCCTCCTAAGACAGTGTCTTGTGCTGACATCCTGACCGCTGCAGCTAGAGATGCCACCGTCATGGCTGGTGGTCCATTCTGGGAAGTCCCCTTCGGTAGGAAAGACGGCCGAGTTTCCCTCGCCAACGAAGCCAACTCCGTTCCCCAGGGACACGAAAATGTCACTGCTTTGATTGAATTCTTCCAAGCACGCGGACTCAACATTCTTGACTTGGTTATCCTCTCTGGCTCCCACACCATCGGAAGGTCTACCTGCTATTCCATTCGACAGAGGCTCTCCACCGATAACATCAATCTTAAATATCTGAATTCTCTCAGGAGGCAATGCAACAACAGTAATATTAATATTAATCTTAATCGGTTTGTTGATCTGGATGCTACCACTCCCAAGACGTTCGACGAGATTTACTACACAAATCTTGAGAAGAAGATGGGACTTCTACAGACGGATCAGTTGCTCTACTCGGATGCAAGAACTTCACCCCTTGTTGCTGCCTTGGCATCTCAACCCTCTCTCTTCTTTAACCAATTCGCAGTCTCCATGATCAAGCTCGGCAATGTCCAAGTTCGCACTGCAGGCGAAGTTCGGCTTAACTGCGACTATGTCAATCCTTAGGCGACGACGACGATGACGATGACGACGACTACTACTATTACTTATTATTAGACTCATTCCAATTTCATTTCATTGTTGAGAAAAATATATTCTACCGTGTTCCTTAATTCGCCTTGTTCTTTCCGCTCCTCCTCCTCCACTTTCCATTTTTCTTCTATTTTAATTCCATATATATATATATATATATATTTCAAATTTGATTGATTTGAACTCAAAATTGATGGGAATTCCGAATATGCAGGGCATGAATGAAGAGGTTAAGTTTTGTTTATGGATGATTTTGGGTGGATCAAATTAAACTATACCAATGCATAGTTTGGTTTCTTTTTCTGAGTTTAAAAAAAAAAAAAATGTATAATTTGGTTAGTATCTCATTAATTTTAGTTGGGGTTAATTATACTTTGCATCTATCAATTTTTACCAAGATATTATTTCGTTCATTTCACTTTTAATTGTAACACTCAATTTTTTACATTTTAAGTTAATGTTATTACTTTTTCATCCATCTACTATTAATGAAACTAATGGAAATTAAAAGTAGAAGGACAAAGTGAGATTTTAACGAAAGTATTAAAAGTATAAAACTAAAGTAAGATTTTCGTGAAAGTATAAGATAGCTAGCTAATTAAGCAAGATAAATACTACGTATTGCTCACATAACAAGTTTAATTTATTTTATTAGTATCAGATGAACAAAATATATATATATATATATATTGACTAAAAATTTAGTCACTGAAAATGTGATATTTAATTTTATTTCAATGCCTTTAGCGACTAAAAAAATAGTCAGCAATTTACTACTTTTGGTGAATAAATTTGTTTTAGTCACCAATTACTTTTCCCGACAAGTCTTCAACGACAAATCAGGCGACCAAAAATTTTAGTCACTAAAAACGTTCAATGGCTAAAACTTGACTTTTGGCGACTAAAAATTTAGTCCCCAAAAGTGTAATTTGTTGTAGTGGTTGGAATTGCGTCGATTGGGTGTCAATTACTTATCCTCCGCTATAGTTGCGGTAGATGGATTGCTTGACTACAAGTTGGGTAAGGATTTATGCTAGAGACCAGCTGTAGACACCCCATTTTTGACCAACCTTAAGACTCAGACGTCACCAGTTAAGCACTCGGTGATGTTTCATATTGTGCTCGTTCTGAGATTTCAGAGTCTCGGCTGCGAGCCTTGCCTCCGGACTTCGGAGCTCTTTTGTGCTTTGCCTCGGT